GTATACCAACCACACACCTAAAATAGTGCTCCACCCCCTTCCCGCCCATTGACTCCTGTTGACCTATACTCAGCTCAGGTGAAAACCATTCGGTCACCACACCCATCCCCCCCCCTCTCCTGTACTCAATACTCATCCCCCTTTCCCCTCCATATCCACTTCCTGGTCCAGTTTTGGAGTTGCACGGATTTCTGAACTTGGTACAGCTAGGGCTCGAAATTTAAAAGAGTATCGTTGAACGAAACTCCCGAGTTTCCTTTTTGAAATCTTAACATTTGTGTAGATTTTGATTTAAGAGATTTAAAAAATGGAGAATATGAAGAAACTATATAAAATAATATTTCATCACAAAAACATTGATATCCAAAAAACTACCTATAATATGTTATAACACCAGTCGTGAAACCCGGGTTCCAAAACTGGTTTTTATAACGATACTCTGTTTTAAGTTTTGAGCTCAGAGCCCAAAACTTAAGACAAGGTATCGTAATGAAAACCAGTTTTGGAACCCGGGTTTCACAAATGGGGTTAGGCAGTTTTGTGGATATCAATATTTTTGTTATGATGTATTATTTTATTTGGTTTCTTAATATTCTCCATTTCTTCGAATCTCTTCAATCAAGATTTACACAAATGTTAAAACCCCAGAAATGAAACTCGGTAGTTTCGTTCAACGATACTCTTTTAAATTTCGGGCTCTGGGCATAGACTAAGGAGTACAAAATACTCCTTGGTACTTAAAATATTTGAGACATCTTTTTCCAAGAATTATGAAACTAAAGCGACATATAATCCAAAGAACATATTTATCTTCATAATGTTCAAGGATAGTTCCATGAGTTTGGAAATTGTCAAGAAAAAGGGGGGGGGGGTGGATGAAAGCTTTTGAATAACTTTAAGAAAGTATTAAGGATAGATCCCCAAGGAGTATGAAATAGATTGGGAGATACAACTAACGCGGCCTGCCCTCCCATATGATTATACATGCTTTGGAGACGGTACTCCAATTGTATAAGAAATATTTAGAATTGGTTTTTATATACGCGGTAATCGTACATCAGACAAATATTTCTTAAAAATAATAAATACTAATTATTTATTCAGTTTTGATCATTTTAAATCACCTTTTATCAATACGAATTTGATTTAGAAGTTTGGTGATTTATAATATCTGAAGTGTAACTTTCTTCACTTAAAAATTGTACTTTTGTTTTTGAGTTGATTGATACTCATTACTCAACATTACATTTTTTCATATTTGTTTTCTCGTGCGTTTTTATGTCGATGCAAAATCTATGAAATACGGAACAGATACAAAAACATTACGGTAGCAAAGTTCTCTTAGATCTTTGAATTTATTTGTGACATTCAGTCGTCAACCTACAGGGTGTCCCAATAAACATGGGAATTCAGTGACGAATTCAATATTGTTTTTTTAAATAATTCTTTGATTTAGTATATGTGATACCTACTGAGAAAGCTGTAATCTGTAAGAGTTTCGTCTGCTATGTTTACAATTTGTTTGTTTATGTTTTGACTGCATACGGTTGTACTTCGTAAAACAAGAAAATTGCAGTATACAAACAGAGTAAACTTGTCCGTCTTCACTGTTCATCTTGCGGAGACAAAATAGACACATCTTTACAGCCATTTACCGTTTTCATAAAATAAACTCTAGAAGACCTAATAATATTATGGGTTTTAAATTAGGTATTACAATGCTAATTCATAACAAAGACGATATCGAATTCGTCACTGAATTCCCATGTTTTTTGGGACACCCTGTACTTTAACATGTATGATTCTTAACACAATAAGCACAAAATTATTAATTATAAATTATAAAAAACTAATACTTAAAACGTATAGTTAATAGGACTAAATCCTAAAATGGCAGGATTGGATAGGACAAAACATTCCGTTCGACACTGCTATGGTCGGCAGCTCCTGGCTCATCATGGCTAACAACAGGCTCATCAAATAACAATTAAAAACTCCGTTTCTCCTTCAAAAACCTTCATTTTCTCAAAAAACTTTCCTTCATCTTCTCAAATAACTTTCCTAAAATGATCATCCTAAATTCTTTTAGTACTGGCTTTTAATATTACCCGAGATATTAAGAATTTCGTTCAGATTTCAATCTATATATAAATTTGGCTTGTCTGTTTGGGTGTCTGTCTGTTTGTATCCAATAAACGTCAAAACGGCTGAACCGATCGGGCCAAAAAATTTTTGTGGGACATCACGTGACCACAGGGAAGGTTTATGAATGATCAAAATGTTAAAAATTTGTGTTTAAAAGTTTTTTTTTTTGTAAATTTTGAAAATGCGCAAAAAAATATTATGAAATCCGCAAACTTTTTTCGTTATTGTTTTATACTGTACAAAGAGAAGATGTTCAGAGATAAAGCCACAATTAAAAGTTGAAATATGGGCGCGAAGCGCCCTAAAATCCTAGAAAGAAGGGCGCGAAGCACCCTGAATTTCTAGTTAAAATAAAATTCAATTAAATAAAACCAAAATTGTCGAAATTTGAAAGAAATTCTTCATATCTCGGGTAATATTGGAAGCACAAAAAAGGCAGACCACATTTTGGAAATACTAGGACTAGGAGTATTGAGAGATTATTATTTCTAAAATCAGGGGCGGATACAGGATTTAAGTGAGGGGGGTGCTAGATTTATACTGGAACCAAAATATCCATGGATTTTGAAGGCAAAAAACGCGCACCATTTTTTAAAGATATATATTTTTTTCTGTTTTGTAGTATACTTTCTTTCCCTTAAGTGCTATTAAAAAGCTATTATGAAATCTCAGGGGGTGGGGCTACGTCCCCCCCCCTGAATCCGTCAGTTGGGGTGCAAAGGTTCTGCCGCCCCCCCCTGCAGTCTATAATTTTACTTTTAAAATTAGATTGACAAATAAATGAAGTAAATTATATAATAATCTAAGACCTTGCTACGTCAGGTTTCGTGTGACTGTGAAGTTTTATTCAAATAGACATTTTTTTGGGGACACAAATATAATGAAAGAAGCCGTTTAATGAATAAGACTCCGATCATTAATTTTAAAAATAACGTCCATTATGATAAAAGTTGAGAGCGTTTGGCAAAGTTTGAACATTCTGCTAAATTTAGTGCGAATTCTCTCGGCTTTACAGGAGCTTTATTGCATCATGCAAATAAAAACATAAAACACTTCACATGTTATACATGCACATTTGGTCATGTTTATGAATATGACGGGGGGGGGGGGGGCTGGGACAGGTTTATATAAACCAAAACGATTTTTCACAACGAACTACTTCCGAGGCCATATATATAGTTTAAAATATTGTCTTTCATAATTTGTTAATTGTTTTTTTGGTACATGCCAAAGAGAATAATAAAAAATATTATATGGAAGTTTTAATATAGTAAAATTGATTTTAAAGTATAGTAAATTTGAGTAAATTTTTTATAGAATTAAACTGCAAAAAGTCTTAAATATCTAATACAGTGTATGGAAGAAGACATTTAAAACTAAATTCACCAACTGTCATGTTTCGTGGGACACTCTGTATGTCAATTTGCCTACACCTAAGGGTTTTATTAATTTTTTTAAATACTTTTAATGTAACTCCCAACATTTAAACCTTTATTCGAGTTTAACTTTTACTTTTTTAACTTTGCAATATTTTTATCCCAAGAGAAATAAGAGAAAACGAACCAAAAGCAATCATTTTTTTGCATATACAGGGTTACCCAGAAGAATGAGACTGTAGACGACCTGAAACCCTAAGGTTAAATTCATGTCTTCTTCCTTTAATGGCTTCTATGATTATTTGGCAAAAACTGTAACAATTTTGCAGGCAGAGAATCATGAATTAAGGAAATGAGACATGTTTAAATTCTTTAAATTCTCTGAAGTCGCATTCTTTGTGGGTAACCCTGTATTTTCACCTCAGGGGTCCAAATCTGACATAGAGTAAGAGAAGCTATTGTTTTAAAAAAGCCAGTTTGAAATTGGTTCAACCTTTCAGATTTATGTACGGGGTTGCGCACAAAGGATGAGACTGTAAAGACGACCTGAAACTATTTACATCAGACGGTTCCAAGGTAAAATTAAGTCCTCTGCCCTCTATAGTTTCAGTAGAAGTAAATATTTCCATTTACTGATAGCGCCGATTCAAGGATTCATAACTCTGATTGGATATTGAGATAGATGTTACCACCATACTATTTCTATTGGTTCAGAATAGACAACAAACACATGACTGAAACCTGATTGGACCAGGCACTAATGGACTCGGCATACAGGAGTGTGTCTAAAAGATAGCCTATTTTTACGGCCTGTTCGATGATATTTATAGTTGCATGAAAATCATGATTATAAGAAAACAGACAGTATAAATTACGTATTGTCGTCTCTGAAGTCTCCATGCGAATTGTGGGTTACACTATCTTGTGAAAATAAAAAATTCAAAGCTTTACATTATAATAACCCTACCTGCAAATTCTCAGGAAACTGAGGAATAACACTAAGATGATTTAAACAAAACCCTAATGTAATGCTTCCATTAGGGATGATGAGACTTAAATACAACAAAGTTGGAATACTCTCACCATTTAACTCAGAAATATATTTAAAGGGTACCGTGGTGAATCCGGCATACTCTATAAATGAAGGGTCACTTAAAATTACACCTGCAGAGCCCAAATCGTCCCAAATTAACGGGCGTATTAGGACGTTCTCTGTATGTTTCCGTACTCTCTAAAGTTTGTCCATAAGATATCACCCAAAGTATAGATGTCAACACATAATCTAATTTTACTATGCCATCTTTTTTGCCTTGAGGGGTCGTGTTGCTTGCCGTACTTTGGACGGCCACAGTCGGAGACGTCATATGTTAGAAAAAAGTACGGATGGGACGATTCGGGCCCCGTTCATTTCATGACAATGTTCTCTTAAAAGACGACATTTTGTTTCATTTTCCACCAACTTCTCATCTATCAACATGAAAGTATTTGATATATATATTTATTAACACAAATAATGACAATTAGCGTAACACGGGTGATATATTTATATTGTGACCGACGGGGCTCAACGAATAAATTTAGTATTTACATTTATCAAAAAGAAATTACTCGCCTTTAATCATTTATCTCAATGAAATAAGGATTCCAAAAAGTATCTACGCCCGCCCTCCTTTCATAGGTGGTGTTTTCCAAAACATAGATTTCAAAAACTAATGATTAAAAAGTCGTCTTCAATCTTAATCTCTGAAAATTATCGATATCTTTTTTCTCAGGAAGAGAAATAAGAAAATAAATATGGTTGTCGCACCGAAAACGACTTTTATCATTATTCATGAATTCACATTTACGATTATTGAGTACTTCCATCAACTCTACATTGTTCTGGCTATTGATCAAGAGACAATTTATCTTAAATAGATTATCACATTCAATTTTTTTGTTGAATAAAGATGGATAGTTATGTTTAAATCGGGACACTCAGAACTCATTCGGATTTAAGAAGAAATCCTTTTGATACTTTCTACATTTAATGATTTAACAATGTCCGGGAAAATGAAACCAAAAATTTATGAATAAAGGTTGTGAATTCAAGAAAAAAGAATAATCTTGAATCTGGACTTAGTTCTAAGTGAGATCACACCTCAAGTTCAACATTGTCTGGAGCAATCACGTTAATATACTATTCGTTATCAGTTAATTATCTACGAAGAAGTTTTTCCTCCAGATTTGCTCAGTGCACTTCATTGGAGATCAAGGTTTGTATTGAACCAACTACATGAAGCAGGATCAAGGTTTGTGTTAAACCGTGCACATGGAGCAGGATCAAGGTTTGTGTTAAACCGTGCACATGGAGCAGGATCAAGGTTTGTGTTGAACTGTGTACATGGAGCAGGATCAAGGTTTTGTGTTGAACTGCTGCATGGAGCAGGATCAAGGATTTTGTTAAACCGTCTGCCTGGAACAAGATTAAGGTTTGTGCTGAACCAACTACATGGAGCAGGATCAGGGTTTGTATTGAACCGTGCACATGGAGCAGGATCAAGGTTTGTATTGAACCGTTAACATGAAGCAGGATCAAGGTTTGTGTTAAACCGTGCACATGGAGCAGGATTAAGGTTTGTGTTGAACTGTGTACATGGAGCAGGATCAAGGTTTGTATTGAAACGTCTCCATGAAGCAGGATGAAGGTTTGTGTTGAACTGTGTACATGGAGCAGGATGAAGGTTTGTGTTGAACTGTGTACATTGAGCAGCATGAAGGTTTGTGTTTAAGTGTGTACATGAAGCAGGATCAAGGTTTGTATTGAAACGTCTCCATGAAGCAGGATGAAGGTTTTTGTTGAACTGTGTACATAGAGCAGGATGAAGGTTTGTGTTGAACTGTGTACATGGAGCAGGATGAAGGTTTGAGTTGAACATATAGCAGAATTAGCGCGAGAAGTTGATCTGAAATCAACGCTAGAACGGTAATATTAAAAGCTTAGTTTAGAAAGTAATCCAGGACGTCACCAGAGCGCTCTATATCAGCATAGTTGGTGCTCCTCCTACAGTTCCTACTAGGTCGGGCGGAGGTGGAAGCAGGAACAGATCTCTGTAGAACCTCTTCCTCAGTCTCACTCTCTTCCTCCTCCGAACTCTCTATATACCGACCCCGCTTGGCCGGTTTAGCAGCTCCGCCTCGACCACCGCGTGAGCCCCTTCCTCCGCCCCGCTTGGATTTTGGTTTCTTCCGCTCGTCAGAAGAATATTCTAGTTCGTCACTATCGTAGAAACGTTTCACTCGAGACCCTCCGCCCCGAGACCTTCCTCGGACAGGCTTCGCTCCGCCGCGAGGTTTAACAGCGGGTTTAACTTGTATTGGTTCGACAGTGACAGGCGGAGGAGAATCGGACCGAATGTCCGCGGGGGTCTCTTGAACAACTGTCTCTACTGGAGCTGGACTTGACGCGGAGGGGGCTACCGGCGGCGTGCGTATAAATTGAAAAAATTTCACCGAAAAATTCCAATCCACGTAATCGTCTTCTGGTAGAATAACCTCTTCCGTTACAGGCAAAACATTGTCTACGACGATTTCACCGTTAACAGCAGTGGTTGCCGAAAACGGCGCTATGGGTAAATCCGCCAGCTGCGCCATAATTGGAGCGCCGTCGGCGTCTACAATCGGCGTTATCGGTATAACATCGGCGTCCAAGGAAAGACCTGGTCTTGACAACGGATACTTGATCGCTAGAGGATCACCTTCGTCCTCGCTATCGTCAGAGACCCCAACGCCTTCACTAATCACAGGCTCCCAAGTAGCATCCTAGACAACATACAAAATTATTCATTTCAGTTTTGTTCAGGGATAAAAATGGGGGGGGGGGGGTTGTCACAGTGTCTTAAAACAGGCACAAAAAACAGAAACCTGGCTTAATAAACAGCACCAAAAATGGACGGGCAAAAAGAAGTTAAATTTATAAATCATAAAATTGTAAAAAAAAAGTAATATTTCGTACAAATTGAGTATTAATTTTAAATACAAAATATCGACTCATGACATTAAAATGTTTTTAATTTTTTTCCAAATTTTTCACTTTCCCAAAATCATTAAAAATTTTTCGAGAAAATTGGGAGAAAATCAACAAATTTTTGGGATATGGAATAAAACACTAACATATATCTGTAAAATATATAAAACTACAAAAATGGAATAATCGATGTAAGTTTATGTGAACCTGAGCTGGGAACTTTAGAATGGGATACCTTTGATCCCGACTGCTTAATCCAAGTAACCATTGTGGACACTTTTAATTTCTTGCTTAATCCACTCTTTTCTGAATAAAGTACAGAAAAATCTAAAACCGATTTTTTTCTGTAAATAGTAATCTTAAATGGCGCCCAATATTTCAAATTTTCCGAATTCTGATACGCGACTCTGACTCTTAATCCCGATCGGTTAATTAATCTGGAGATTAATAACAAGAGGAGAACAAACATTATTTAATCTTGAGATTAAGAAAAAGAGGAGATCAAGCATTGATTTCGATATCTACCATTCTCAAGCTCGCAGCTCTGCATACATAGAATTGTGTAGCAGATTAACAACAATACCTTTTAAACTTTGTGGCTGGGCAACAATTATAGAGACCATTTTAATTTTCACGACAAGAAAAAAAATTGGAAAAATTGATATTTTTCTGTCTAACGACACGACATTTTCCTCATTGTTAGCTAACTATAGGGTTAAAGGGTTTTGTTGTGAATAAAACATTGAACTCTACAAATTTAATTAATTAAGAGAACTGTCCCTTTTAGCTGTTAAAATGACCTGGTTTAGAACAATATCATTGGTGGATAAAGCTCTGAATTTTGGTGACTGAAGGAGCTGAATATAGAATCCGTCAAGGAAAAGATTCTCAAAGTAGGCGGGCTTATTACACACCGGACACACCCACTTCGGCTTCTTCTCATTCATCCTGAACATTTTATAATATAAGTTAACCATTTCAGGTCATAGGGGCGTTAACAGGAAGTTGGGATGGGTATTTTACTATTTCAGACTGAAGAAACATTTTAAGAAAAAATATTTCAGAAAAAAAGAAATATTTTTGGCTTCCGAAATATTTCAGAATAAAGAAACAATTCGGTATAAAAAAATACATTTTATATTTAAAAGCATTTCAGGATAAAGAAACATTACAGGATCTAAAGAAACATTTCAAATTCAGGATAAGGAAACATTTCAGGAAAAAGAAAAAGAATTCAGAAATAAGAAACATTTCAGGAAAAAGAAAAAGAAATCAGGAAAAAGAAACATTTCAAGATAAAGAAATATTTCAGGATAAAGAAATATTTCAAGATAAAGAAACATTTCAGGAAAAAGAAACATTTTAGGATAAAGAAACATTCCAGGAAAAAGAAAAACAATTCAGGAAAAAGAAACATTTTAAGAAAGAAATATTTCAGATTGCAGACATATTTCAGGATAAATTAACATTTTAGGAAGCCTTCAGAACTCAAAATCCTTGTGAATCTGAATGTTTTAAAAGTACTACAAAGATGACCAGAAAACTTTGAAATAGGAAGACGACGAAAGTTTTGACTTGAAATAGTCCAATGAGCATGGGACATAGCAATTGTGCAGTGTAAACAGACACATTTCACTTAATGATTTAAGAAGTGTTAATTAAAACATTTGATTTGTAACAAGATCAAATAAACTAAAGTATTGCTGTAAAGTCGTCTTCTCCTATTTCAGAGTTTTCTGGTTCTCTTTGTAGTTTACCGTAAGTAGGTGTCCACGTCGAAGCACTGTAGATGATCACATGTAGAGGATCGCGCAGGATAGGTCATACGCGCCATTCCTAACGGACACGCCATAGTAACCTAGACAAAATAAATAGAACAATGGAGATGATAATTATAGAAAAAAGTCATAACAAGAGGCGTATACAATATACACGGGGGGAAGGGGCTATTGGTGCTAAGCCATTCCCTCTTGAAGACTGAAAACTATTATTTTCAGAGGGGATCCAACCCCCCCCCCCCCTCCGAATACCAAAAAGAAATAAGTATATTTTTCTAGAAAAATCATTTTCCCTTTCCCATCTTCAACAGTTCTCTTTAATATTAGCGCGGAGGGGTCTTATCGCGTGTTATCGAAAATAAATTAACAAATTTAAGGATAAAAACATCCAAAAAAGGGGGGGAGGCAAACTTCGAATCCCCCCCCCCCCCTCAGGGATTCTAAATACATCCAACCCTGTTTTCCTAACCTTGCAGGACGTGGTTGCAATCTCGTCTGAATCCTTATCCTCGAGTTTAGATCTAATCAAAGCTTTGGTTATCTCAGGATCTCGTTGCCCTCGGGCCTTCAGGAACACAAGCAGATCACTAGGGGACAGTTTCTCAACTAAATAACCATGTCAATCAATCAATCAATCAATCAATCAATCGATGAAACAATCAAGGCCAACCAACCAACCAATGCAAACAAAGTTATTTTGAAAGAAGACAGTTTGTTTATAAAATAATGAATATATCAATCAATTAATCAATCAATCAATCAATCAATCAATCAATGATCAAAAATGAATTAACTTGAATAGTGCACTCAATCAATCAATACGTCAAATACAACCAACCGACGTTAAGATCAATCAATAAGTCAAATACAACCAACTTACGTGAAAATCGATCAATCAATCAATCTTATTGAAAAGTCAACAAATGAAAACTGAAAATTGGTAAAACAAATCAAAGTATCTTTTTTATTTTACAATTACCTAAGTATATGGAAACAGTGTGAAGAGAATCTGAAGGTGTCCACGTAATACTGATTTGGTTTAAGCAGGACTTAGTGTTCAGTTTACACAACGAGGTCACTATTAATGGTTTCGGCGGCCGCTTAGCCTCCATATTCGGTCGGTTGGCCGGAACCGGTTTAGGATTCGGCAGGGGACAGATCTAAAAAGAAAATCGTCAAAAATGTTGCAACTAAAAATTTTGAATAAAATTACTATTCTAAATCTATATAATAAAGCTCTTCGCTCATGTATATATACTTGTATTTATGTATAACTGGACCGAATAGGTTAAATAAGTTTTGAGGGAACCCATAAGTGCCTGGGGAGCAGCATAGACTAAACAAAAATTCGACATTTTTATTTCTTAAAAATCAAATTTAAAAAAAAAAATTCCATGGGCAACGCCTGGCACTTCTGCTAATATTACATACTTCTATATTATTATTATGGTTATCTATGTTTACTTCACCGGGGTTTTCACAATGTGGGCCCGATTGGCTGATCGGATTAGAGGTTTATTGATTACAAACACAGATGGTTTTAAAATGATGATGCAACAAAGATTTTGAACCGGGAATATAAGATTACAAGAGAGATTGTTGGACATAATACTGGTGAGGAAGTATACTATTCAATACAGAGTATATCTCGGTAGATCTGATAGATTTCACACTGTTTAAACACAACCCAGGACTGCATACTTCCACATATCTTTTCAGGGTTGTTATATCTCACACAATATTCGACCCCTAACTAGAATACATCCTCAAAAAATGGAGCAGAAAAAAAAAATTTTATTCAAAAAATATTTTATTATTTTTTTCCAGATGTCCGGGTATTGTATAAATAGTCTTTTTTAAATATTAATGCTCAGTATGTAGACACCCGTACCAACAACGTCTCATTTAAACAGTGTTTCGGATCCATATCATTTTGATTCGGATCCGGATCCGGATCCGCGGATCCGCATCCGTGATGATGGATCCGGATCCGGATCCGAGGTAACTTTTGATTCTGTGAATCGGATTTTCCCTATTAAATGTTATGCAAGGTTATAATTTATAAACCATAGTAATCCTAAAGTTAAAAATGTCGTCATTACTATTATATAAATGTAAACATTAAATTATTAAAGAAAATTTTGAAAAATTTTCGTCATGTAAATAATACATTTACGAACCATTTTGATTGGTTTATTCCATGGTTTTGGTTAATTTTTGGCGCTACCCGGATCCATATCAACGTTTCCTGATACGGATCCGGATCCGGATCCGACCAAATGATACGGATCCGACCGGATCCGGATCCGAAACACTGCATTAAAACATAGTAGATTTATACCGATTTTTTAGTTAAAAACCCAAGGCCCCGACATAATCTCATGTAAGTTGAAGTGATAATAATCAACTTAAATTTTTGAGAGCTTTGAACATCTCATTAGTTCCGTTAATCACGATTTCATTCAACGTGTTTCTGCTATGTCTAATGGTCGAGGGGTCAACCTATCAGTTTTAGTCTTTTTAAAGTAAAAATGTTGCGGATTTTCGGCAAAACACAAAAAGTACAGAATAACAGGATCTGCATTTATTTAGGATTCTGGGCTATGCTTAGGATCCGGATCCGTTGGATCTGCAAGATTTTGGCTTCCTGGATCCGGATCCGCAAAAAAATGCAGATCCACGGGGCAAAATATCAATAAAAAACTGCCAAACACAAAATTTACTCTCAAACCCCAAATCTGAACTTTTGAAAAAAGACAGATTATAAAAATGTCCTGATTTCTGAATGGTTCATCAAGTTTAAGCATAAAAATAAGCGAAAAAAGACTATTTGAAAACTCTGCATTGTTAAAAAAATTTAGTAAATTTTATGGAAATAACCTGGATCCAATTTTTCCAGTGCGGATCCAGGATCCGGATCCGCATCAGAATTAAATGGATCCTAAGCACTGATTCTGGGTGAGTTTTTAATGGGTATTCTCCATATTTTGATACATAATAGTTTGAGTGATAACAAGAATGAATTTGAGACAAAGTTATTTCTTTGTTAATTGAATAAAAGAGGACATTTTAGAACCATGTTGACTTTAAAATGTTTGCTTTGGGACATCTACACTCTAGATTTCGGAGCAAAACAAGAATTAAAGACTCAAGGAGTGTTAGGAGAGGTAAAAAATTAACATTTTTAATCTATTCTTCTCTTTTCAATTTTGAAAAATTAAAATAATCATGCTTTATGGTGTTTATTTGAAAGAAAATAATTGGGAAGGGGGGGGGGTCTGTTTTAGTATCTTTAGAAGGAAGCATGAAACATGTGACTGAAATACAATACATTTGATCAAATCAAATTAAATCAAGCTTAAATCTGAAAGGGAACCCAATGTGGAACTTTCATTTCAGTAATCCCAAAAGTTATTTAATAGCGATAAAACCTTTTTTAAGTTTGCGTTCTTTCAGCAGAAATGCAAAAAAATTACATTAAAAAATCAACGTTTCTTAAAACTTGTTTGTATTGGTACTTCAAAATTCATCTATTTCCCCAAGTCAGCAAATAAAACCCTAAAAAACGTAAAAATTATTTTGAAAAAGAGGTGGGTGTTGATATTTCAAGAAAAGATACAAAAACTTTAGTTCTGGGATATTTTCTATTGAAAATCTTATCATTGTTTGTATGCCTAGGCGAACAACTTGTTGAGCGGATATTTGAAGACGGATCCTAATTATCCTTTAAGGTACAACTTTTCGACGTAGCTTCCATCAGTGCTAAGAATCCATTTAATTTTGATCCGGATCCTGGATCCGCACAATAGAAAAAGATGGATCCGGATCCAGGTAATTTCTTTCAAGATTTACAGCATTTTTTTTTCACAAAGCAGAATTTTCAAAGGACCTCACTAGTCTCCTGGAGTTTGTAATAACTCTTGTAATAATAGAGATAAATGGTGCTAACTTTGCACCTATATTCTTTTAATCCATAAGGGGCATAACAAAATTTCAAATTTTTTTTTTCTTGATCAGGGGCGTAGAAAGGGGGGTATTTGGCCCAAAACAGGTATTTATATATATAAATATTTTTTTGCCGATGTATCATTATTGTTTTCAAGATTTTAGGTCTGACAGAATATTAGACCATGAGAAAATAGCCTAACAAGGACAGATTCAGCTTGCAGGAGGAGCCCTGTATGGTTCAGGGGCTAAAAAGCCAACAGTCAGGGGGGTCCTTTGATCCACATCAGACTCCTGAAAAATGAAGAGGAATCAGTGCCAATAATGCAAAATTAAATAAAAAAGGCAAGTAAAATTCTAAAAATGAACCATTTTTATCAACAGGGGCGCCTAGAAATCCAATATCACTGAAAACCCCCCTCTTGTATTTCATTAGTCAAAAACTAAGAAAATAGTAATTTTAGATTATTTTAAACCATACTATCCTTTAGGAAGTGTCCTCAATAGCTTAAAGATCCAAAATGAACCATTTTTATCAACAGGGGCGCCTTGAAATCCAATATCACTAACACCCCCCTCTTGGATTTCATTAGTCAAAAACTGAGAAAATAGTAATTTTAGATAAAAATGGTTCATTTTGGATCTTTTAGCTATTGAAGACACTTCCTAAAGGATAGTATGGTTTAAAATAATCTAAAATTATTATTTTCTTAGTTTTTGACTTAAATACCTGTTTTGGGCCAAATACCCCCCTTTCTACGCCCCTGATCAAGAAAAAAAAAATTTGAAATTTTTTTATGCCCCTTAAGGATTAAAAGAATATAGGTGCAAAGTTAGCACCATTTATCTCTATTATTAAAAGAGTTATTACAAACTCCAGGAGACTAGTGAGGTCCTTTGTCGCTAAGTTTTATGCTGAAACTGTCGAATTATTCAGAAATTTTTTTTTCAGTAGTTCAAATTTTGGGTTTGAGAGTAAAAGTTTTTTTGATATGATTTATTTTTTATTTATTGATATATTTGATCCGGGAAGCCCAACATCTTGCGGATCCAACGGATTCGGATTCTGGGCACTAACCTTTATTTGAGTAAGAATGAGTAAGAATGAGCAAGATAATTACGATTTCTCGCATTTAATAAGTGGATAAATAATATAGATTGAAATCGTCCGTATCTGTTTCTATGACAGAGAAACGACGATAGTTTCCTCAGGTAAAAGGTTTAAAAGGGATCCAGTAGGAATCTAAAAACCTGATATTATTTTAGTTTGGATGTCTGCGTGCCACTTTTTGTTATATTCTTTTTCCTTCTCTACCCTGGAGGTAAAGTATTAAAAGTAATTCAATGCTTACAAATTTTATTCTATTTGATTTACTAATGAAGACAAAGAGAAAGTGAATTTTACGAAATTTCACAGTTCTCCTGAGATAACCCCAGAATAAGAGAGTCACCGCTTTAAGTATAATAAGAAAAAAGATTCAGATTTGAAGAAAAAAGAGCTTTTAAATTAATACGTTTTATGTGAAAAAAGTATAGAAAAGACAAATAAATAGCCTAAGCCCTTATTCAAGCTTTAAAAATGGCAAAAAATTCAAAGTACTGTCTGTCTTGGTTTAAAAAAAACTAAATACAGGATAGTTGTAACTTGGCGATTTGTTGTACTGATCTTTCAGTAGAGTTGCTTAATGAATTGAGAGGGGAGGGGGGGCTTTCTTTTCCCTCCTCTAAACTACAAATGTGAATTTTGTAAGTATGTAAATTTCATGAAACGATAACAATGTTTTCCGTTACCAATATTGAACTGGAAACTGGTGATTTTAAAATTTTTTAAAATTTAATTGAGGTATTCAGCATTGATTTCTAGGAATTCACTGATAGGTTTCTTGTATCTGATTTTATTCATAAATTGCTGAATGTTAATTAAAATATAAGTTTTAAAGGTTTTTAAATGCTTACAAAATATGTACGAGGTTTCGTTACTTTCATTATAAAGGTTTAGTTTTCTATTAAGGAGAGGGGGGGGGGGGGGGGGGGGGGAAGGTGATTCTCACGTTTAGATTATCCTGGCCTTCTAATTTTATTGTTATATTTTCTGAATATTTAGCTCCACTTCGACTGCACGATCCCAATGAGGAACCTGGGCATGGTGCTAGTACACCTCGACCTGGTTTATTTACCCCAACCACCACAAGGCATGGCTAGATATAATATATATTTTATATTGGTAACAGATGTTAAATCCTAAATTGGAAGATTAAAAATGGTACATCTACTGGACAGTTTTCCTAACTTTTAATTCTTTTAGCTAAAAAGTTCATTATTTTAACCATTGAGTTAAAAACTTAAGTTTGTGGAAAAGAAAAAACGTGATTTTTCAACGAAATATATACCCTTGTCACCAGGAATCCCTTTACCGGATCCATCACCGGATACAACCAGTACAATCCAACATTCGTCAAATATCATCGATCAGATGATAAAAATATTCTACAAAATATAGATCAGGTAAAATGAACATTACTTTCATGTAATATATAGTTTGCTTTTACATTTTCGGGCATTTTCTTGTACAGTTTAATGAAGTTCCTTTTCTAGTCGCTAGTCGGATAGTGGCGCTAGCGGAAAAACAGTAATTATTAATGTACTCTGAATTTTACTTTCCTTAGTATAAAATTTAATTTCTCTAATTTTACCTAATTTAGGGGCAGTATGTTACCAACTTTAAAAATACTGGTAAAATTTTTTTTTCAAATAATTATAAATATTATAACATATCAGTAAATCTGGACCTTTTTCTTTTAAAAAATAATTACAGACAAGTTTCCTCAAAAAATATGTATGCTGTTATCCCAAGGTTCTGGAGAAATATCAAGACTCCAAACCAAACCTAACTCAACCAAGAACAAAAACCTAGGGTTTCAACCCGGAAGAATATTAGCCAAGAGAAGACTTGAAGTTCAAAAATTCAGCTTCTAGAGGAAACACTAAATCCCCCAAAGTTGATAAATAAAATCCGGGAAAGTGTTGTTCGTGATACTTACTTTATTGTTCACTTTTAGACAAACATTTTTAGGAAAATCATCATCATGAACTCCATCAGGGGACATCTTTGTAAACCTTAAGTTAAAATAATAATAAAATCGTTTATATATACACTTTGATTGACTGTCTGTCTGTTTGTGTCTAATTAACATCGAAACGACTTAACTGATCGGGCCAAAATTTTGTGTGGAACCTCACATGACCTCAGAGAAGGCTTATGGATGCTCAAAATTACAAAAATTTGTATCTCAAGATTTTGATTTTTGTAAAATTTTGAAAAAGAACGAAAAAATATTATTAAATTCGACTTTTTTTGTTATTGTTTTATATTGTACAAAGAGAAAATGCTCACAGATAAAGCTGCAGAATCAAAAGTTAAAATAGAAAAAAGCCTCGTAAAATAAACTTGAAATAATCTTGTCAATCTTAGTTAATAATCACTGTCTTGTTTATTTGTATAACTTAAAGAGTTTGTTGCCGGGAAATTATTTAAAATTACCCCAACCCTCTCAAAAACTGGACTTTACTGGCGTTTGGAGATTTTTTATTAGATCAAGGAAAAGGACTTACCTGAGTAAAATGTGCATCTTATAAACCACCATCCCGTTCGTCTCAACCTTCCTACCGTTGTTGACCATATTGGCCTGCTCCTGTGTCAAGTAGAACGCCAGGTTCTGCTGCTGAATCTCCTTTAAAATCAATCAATCAATCATTGTATTTCCGTTATTTAGTCGGATTTAATGAAGAATTTTATCAGCTGATATTTCTTGTTTATATTATTTTTAAACTTAACCGGCCCCCTAGAACTTTGATAACGATATACACAAGTGTTCGATGTTAAGATGCGTAAATTATCGTCATGTACGCATTTCTCCTGGAGTGGCTCATTCATGTACGCATTTCTCCTGGAGTGTACATTTTAGATGGTTATGGCAAAGAGGTATTCTTGAAATTGTTAATTCTAATAATTCCTTTATTTTGGGAGGCCGAGGGGGGGGGGGGCGCCTGAGTTCATCGAAAATTTTTTTTTAAAATGTAATATCGAATATTTAGGGAAACGACAAGAAATTAATATTAGAAGAAATTACATATTTACCATACACAATACTCAATAATTAATGATAGTGTCAAAATATTCAATGTGAGATAACGAAAAATTACCAACTTGTATATTAATATTTTTCAATAAAATTACCAGCTTGTATATTAATATTTTTCAATAAAACTACAAACTGTATATTAATATTTTTCAATAAAATTACCAGCTTGTAAATTAATATTTTTCAATAAAATTACCAGCTTGTAAATTAATATTTTTCAATAAAATTACCAGCTTGTATGTTAATATTTTTCAATAAAATTACCAGCTTGTAAATTAATATTTTTCAATAAAATTACCAGCTTGTATGTTAATATTTTTCAATAAAATTACCAGCTTGTAAATTAATATTTTTCAATAAAATTACCAGCTTGTAAATTAATATTTTTCAATAAAATTACCAGCTTGTATATTAATATTTTTCATTAAAATTACCAGCTTGTATATTCATATTTTTCAATAAAATTACCAGCTGTATATTAATATTTTTCAATAAAATTACCAGCTTGTATATTAATATTTTTCAATAAAATTACCATGGAAGAATCTTTAGGAGTAAGATTGCAAGGTCTGAGAAGCGTGGATTTGGAAGGGAAGAACGGCAGGTCTCTGATCTTACAGTCGGGAAAGGATAATCGGCCAGCCGCCGATTTAGAACCGCCGTTTTGTGTTACTGCCATCTTTCCGGTGGTTGGGGGCATTGCCCGAGGTTGCGGACGGGCGGCGGGACTTGCGATATGCCTGGTGGCGGGGCTGGAGGGTGTTCTAGCCGCGGGGTGGTAGGAAGTGGGTTGGACTAAAGGAGGAGTTGGGCCCGGCCGTGGTATATGAGAAGTTGATATTGCCGAATCTGAAAAAATCACTGTGTTTTATCTTTATTTGACTGTTTAAACTAATACCTTTTTCCTATTCCATAGTTTTATGAGTCTTTAATACAAAAAAAAACCTTAATCTTTTTGTCATTTGAACATGTTTTCATTGATGCATTGATAAAAAATTAAGATTGTGCATAAAAAATAAGATAATGTATTTTGCAACTTCACATGAAAAATTATCATTTATGAATTTTAAAACAAAGCAATAGATTTAATACAGTGGTACAAAAAAAAACTGTGGAAAAGGAAGATGACTGTTAAGCTATAGTTATAGGTTTAAATAGTCCAATAAACATTGTATAGTGTTACACCCATTTCACTTTATAAGTTCATTATCTAGTGGGAACTATTTCCATAAAACGCACAAAAAACTGCTGAAAATCGTCTTCCTTTTCCACAGTTTTGGGTTACACTTAATCAAAAAAAAATGTATTTGATCCAATTTTACCTGTTTCTTTAGTGACTTTAACGGGAGTAGACAACTCTTTCTGTTTCTCAATATTATTCCGTTGCACTGCAGATTTCCCGTTGGTCGGGTTGGCCAGGTCACAAGGGGGACAGTGCCACTGTATTTCTATATTTGATTCATCAAGCTGAACCATCTGTTTGTAATGCTCCTTTGTCACACCACCACACTAAAATAAATAGATTAATAATTTTTTTCTCAAAAATTCACTTTCATCCCCCCCTATAAAACCCTCAAATAGAAAGAGGACTGTCTGACTCAAATGTGATTTACGTATATATTTAAGATTCGTAGTATTAAACAGAAAATATTTAACAAATACGCGACTAATCTGAACACAACGATATCCCAGAGGAGCCTGAAAATCTCAAGTTTGCTCCTATTATTATTTGAGTTAAATAATTTTTTATTTTTAATAGATATAATAGATAATATTTCCGGAACATGTCACCAGAACTCCAATCAATAGCAGTGCAGTATTATTGTTACGTGTCTCCGTCTATATCACGTGACCCGTATACTGCACTGCCATTGGAGGGGGTTCTGGTCACGTCATACAGACGTATATCTTATATATATACAGTTTGTTATAATTTTGACACAGTTTTATGTCCATTTCTCTAGATAGAAGCATAAGATAGATGTCTTATAGGTATCGTTCAACTCCTGAGATTATCAGGTTTCCCTATACAGTCCCTTTAAATAATTGATACTGTGAGTAGATTAATACGATGGGAGTAGAACTAAGGAGGGTGTAATTATTTACATCTTACTGTGACGATTGTTTGTCTTCCGAAATTAGTTTTACTGTAAACAATAACAAAGATTGCAAACAAGGCTTGGTACTTTCGTGTAAAGGATATTCACAATCCCGATACTCTTAAGTGGGCAGTTTTAATTTGAAGATCAATACCCAAATATGAACAAAATTGAAATTTATTCTTTTAAATGAACCACATAAAAGATATAAATATTCTTTCTTAATTTCCACTTCTAAACCATTCTTGCCCAGTTTATCCTCTCCATCCGTCCTTGCATAGTTTCTCCTCTTAATTTATCATTACTCAGTTTATCTTCTCCATTCGTCCTTGCATAGTTTCTCTTCTTAATTTATCATTATTCAGTTTATCCTCTCCATCCGTCCTTGCATAGTTTCTCCTTTTAATTTATCATTACTCAGTTTAACCTCTCCATCCGTCCTTGCTTAGTTTCTCCTCTTAATTTATCATTATTCAGTTTATCCTCTCCATCCGTCCTTGCATAGTTTCTCCTCTTAATTTATCATTATTCAGTTTATCCTCTCCATCCGTCCTTGCTTGGTGTATCCTCTCCATTCGTCCTTGCATAGTTTCTCTTCTTAATTTATCATTACTCAGTTTATCCTCTCCATTCGTCCTTGCATAGTTTCTCCTCTTGATTTATCAATATTCAGTTTATCCTCTCCATCCGTCCTTGTTTAGTTTCTCCTCTTAATTTATCATTACTCAGTTTATCCTCTCCATCCGTCCTTGTTTAGTTTCTCCTCTTAATTTATCATTACTCAGTTTATCCTCTCCATTCGTCCTTGTTTAGTTTCTCCTATTAATTTATCATTACTCAGTTAATCCTCTCAATCCGTCCTTGCATAGTTTCTCCTCTTAATTTATCATTACTCAGTTAATCCTCTCAATCCGTCCTTGCATAGTTTCTCCTATTAATTTATCATTACTCAGTTTTTCTTCTCAATCCGTCCTTGCTTAGTTTCTCTTCTTAATTTATCATTACTCAGTTTATCCTCTCCATCCGTCCTTGTTTAGTTTCTCTTCTTAATTTATCATTACTCAGTTAATCCTCTCAATCCGTCCTTGCTTAATTTCTCCTCTTAATTTATCATTACTCAGTTTTTCCTCTCCGTCCGTCCTTGCTTAATTTCTTCTCTTAATTTATCATTACTCAGATTTTCCTCTCCGTCCGTCCTTGCTTAATTTCTCCTCTTAATTAATCATTTCTCAGTTTATCCTCTCCGTCCGTCCTTGCTTAGTTTCTCCTTTTAATTAATCATTTCTCAGTTTTTCCTCTTAATCCGTCGTTGCTAATTTTCACCTCCAAATCCGTCTTAGTGTAGTTTCTCCTCTCAATCCGTCGTTGTTTCTTAGCTTCAGTTTCTCAGCAAGGACGAGTTGAGAGGAGAAACTAAGCAAGGACAGATTTGAAAAAGAAACGGAAGAAAAATGGATGTGGAGGAGAAAAAGAGTATGAACGGGTCGAGAGGAGAATCTGAGCAAGGATGGATTGAGAGGAGAAACTGCTCATGGATTGTTTGAGAGAATTAACTTGGAGAAACTAAACTGTAAACAAGGATGAATCGAGAGGAGAAAAAATAACAAGGAGGGATTTAGAGGAGAAACTAAGCAGTAAGCAAGGATGGATGAGAGGAGAATCTGAGTAATGCAGATTGAAAGAAGAAACTATACAAGGATGGATTGAGGGGAGAAACTTAGCAAGGACAGATTGAAAGGAAAAACTGAGTAAGAATGGATTAAGAGGATGAACTGAGCAAGGATGAGTTAGAAGGAAAACTGAAAAAGAACATATTTTTTATTTAGGAAAATATTAATTTTAATTTTGTTCATATGCACTAATGCACTAAAAATAACTCACTTTAATTGAATATTAGATCAATCGGATATAAAAAGGTTCACAATTTTGATTATTGTACTCTTTTACCACAAAAAAAGACGAAAAATATCAAATCAGCGACCCCACTTAAAATTCAATTTTATGTACTTGATAACAAAGATACGGCTTTAAAATGGAGTTAATTGGTGATGAAATTTTCAAAATAATCTATTCATGCAATCATTTTGCAGATATTTTTGCAAATATTCTGCAGGGACGAGTTTTTTTGGATTTGCACGCCTAGTCTATTAAAGCACTAGTCTTGAGGATTCCAAAATGCTATGTCTCTGCCCCTGATAATTTCTTTGAAGTAAATTTTAATTAGGGACTAGGGAGGACTGTGAAACGCATCCGAAACTGGACTTGAACCGAAACATAAAATTCAACCCAGTATTTTAAGATATGGATCAGTAGCGTAATTAGATTGTTTGTAAACAGACTGCCAAACCAGTTTTGTACATTAAATAAATTCTCTTGTGGCACACCCTTGGTTTATTGATTGACAACTATTTTTAAGCACAGAACCAAATTTAGCCTTTAGGATCATCAAAAAATTTCATCTTTTGTGGGTAACCCTGTATTCTTATTAGATTGATAGATAGGCTGCTATTTTTATCTTATTAATATACGTCAACAATGTACGGTCTGACCTCTAGCTATTAAAGGGGTCAACTTAAGCAAGCCAGCTGTTTTGGTAGACCGGTAAAACAACAGCTGTAAAGAATTCATTACTTTATATAAACCAGGAAACGGGGTGGGGTGGGGGGTTGACTTAAATACAAAAATATATTTTTTCTTGCCTTTATATGACACCATTCGCTACAGTTGTCGCACTGTAGACTTTTATCGGAACTAGTTACATGAAATCGACACACTGAACACTTCGTATCCTTTTGCGATTCAGGGGTCGAGCACCGATCCTCGTCAGAATCGCGAAAATCAGAATCAGAATCGGATTCTGTTTCGTTGGAACGCGGCGGTCTCTGCTTTTGATCTCGTCTTTCACCTCCCATAGTACGGAAAGTACACCAATTTAAATTCTACATTTTCCCACTTTTTGTTCACAAAGTAAACTAACTTTGATACGGTTCACTCCGACTTCTCCACTATTGATTAAAAATGGTTTAAAATAAGGATTTTCTGAGTAACTTTACACTACAAGTATATCCAAGCTGACTAGGGCAGGGTGTATCGGGTCCCCCAACTGATCGACAAATTTTAACTTTAAAAATAAAAAAATAACTTACTTTCACACCGGCGTAAATATCCTAGATGTAGGCGGATAGGCGGAAATAGTTACATTTTGAATTCACCTTGTCATAGTTTACTATCGCGTGTGTCTGTGTGTGTTTGAGAGAGAGGCAGTTGTGTGCTCCGATAGACCCCTCTAGAGTGGCGGGCTGGGACAGGGGTGAATACCTGCACCAGATTCTCTGCAATATATACCCCTGTTAGAAAAAACTTTCTAAAGAAAATGTATATTAATATTGTATTATATTTAGGTATCCTTTGCCTCGTAGTAATTTTGTAATAAAATTTTAAAATATTTTTATCTTTTTATTTCTACAACAGGGGTGTTAACGTTTCATTAAAAACTGTTTATTTTCATAAATTAAATCATTTCTCTCAAGGTTCTCTAAAATTTTAAACTGGTCCTTTTAAAATATGGAAAACTTGAATTTTGATTGATCCCTGTCCTAGTGTTTAATAATTGGGCCCCGAAACATTTTTTTGGATTAATTTAAGAGAATTTGTAGTTTCTATTTTCAATGTAGTTCAGATTTTGTTAGTTTGTATCATTTATAACCTCAGATTTTCTATTTTCTCCAACTGTTAATTTACAGTTTTGAAAAAGTTAAATAATTTCGGGGCCCCAAAGAATTTTGCGACATTATTCACAATCGTAACTAAACCAAATTAATTTTTGATCATAAGCAAAAAAAGTTCGTTGAAATTTAAATTAAGTAACTATTAAAGATCTTAAATTGGCTTTTACTACCCCCCCCTTCCCTTTCCTTCCTGAACTTTTCTAGGGAGAGGAAGCTGGAATGGGGGGGGGGGTAGATGTCCCCCAAACCCAAATGAACAGCAAAGATGAATTTAATTTACAAAAACTGGAATGTGCACAAAAATAAAGAATGCGGTGGTATAACCAGTAAAGAGTGAATTGATTGTCGTCTTCCTTCGTCTTTTTCCCCCATAAATGTTGGAAACTTCCCTTGAAAATGTTGGAAAACTATCCAGTTTAAAAAATAACAATTACAAAATCCAATATGAAACATTTGTAATAAAGAAGGAAAAGACGAAAACTATTCCTTTATTGTCGCAAATGTAGGTTTTTGTAAAGAAAAATGTGTCCTGAACGTCACTGTCAAAATATTACAGCCGTAGAGAATTTCCACTTTATATTGGTTATCACTGTGCCCAGAGTGTACAAATATTAATTACAATTTTCTTCAAGTAGAGGCTTACCCACAAAGTTGAGACTATAAAGACGACCGACAACTCTTGAAATGTGACAACTCTAATGTCAATTTATGCATTCTATCCTAGTTATAATTGTGGTTTATTTAATGATTTGGCAAAGAAACTTAACAGTTTACATTTGCATGGAATCGTAAATATAAGGAAACAGACAGTGAAAATTCCGTACAATCGTCTCTGAAGTCTCATCCTTTGTGGGTAACCCTGTAGATACCGTTGATTGAAGAACAGCTGGCTACTGTATCATGTAACACTTTCTAACCATTTCAATATTCTGAAATATTAAACCATTTTTAATGAACTTTAGTCAACAGACATACAAATATTCGAATTACATGTTCATTTAATTTACTGTAAATTTTATGTCAAAGTCAACAGGATTCGTTGCTATTTTGATCCTGCTCAACTTTTTCTATCTAAATAAAACAAGACATTCGTATATATATATTTGTTGCGTATAGCCGGCAAAACAGCTGGACCGATTGGGCTGAATTTTTTTGTGGACACTCATGGATGGCAGGGGGTGCTATAGGCTTTAGATTTTTAATTTTTCAAAAATGTTCAATTTTTTTCCACGGGCAACGCCGGGCCCTCCAGTGTAAGCTATTCAAGAGTCGGCTAAAAAAGTGTATGCTTAAAAGTAATGAACACACAAAGGTGTTCAATTCTTACCCATTTCGATAGTTTAACTAATTCCATTTTCTTCTTGATAGATTCTTGTTAGACGGCGTTATGATATTTCCATTTCCTTCTTGATAACTTCATGTTAGACGGAGTTATGATATTTCCATTTTCTTTTTGATAGATTCATGTTAGACGGAGATGATATTTCCATTTTCTTTTTGATAGATTCATGTTAGACGGAGTTATGATATTTCCATTTTCTTTTTGATAGATTCATGTTAGACGGCGTTATGATATTTCCATTTCCTTCTTGATAACTTCATGTTAGACGGAGTTATGAGTATTTTTAAATGGCAACTTCTCAATTGCCATTTTAAAAATGCAAAATTCATCATGTTACTTTTTAGATATGATAATCAGAAGGATTATAGCGGGTTGTCTGATTGCATAATCATAACGATAACTGCTTAGAATTTTGCCAAAATTATCTTTTAAAAAAACTGGTTCAAAACACCAATGTTACCCAGGACCAATTTGTAATCAGCAACAGGTCTTGTCTAAACTTGAAGATTTACGTACATAAAGTGTTATGTATTCAACGTGGAAACATTTCATCTTGCTCTCTCGTAGATTTTGTAATTTTATTAGAGTTCATGTACAATAATAATTAAATTTAATTAGGATTTAATTTACTAGATTAGGATTATGCAATGCATCCCTTGCCTATTTAGAAGTTAATTTTTAGATTTAAAACTTATGTCAATACTCGACCCTCCCCCTTTTAATGTTAACCTACCAAACTTCAAAATAAGTCCATATTTCGAATAAAATCTCTTTAGTCGTCAATTACATTGAACATTGATTAAGTTTTAAGACGATTCTTTTTTATACCAACATAAGACATTGCTTATGGATTGTATTGAAAAAAATTATATAACATCAAATTAAGAAAATTAAGAGTTTTCCCAAGTTTTCAAATTTTTAAGCAGAAAATAGGCAAAACGTAGCGGCAAATAATAGTTTAATCGAAAAATACGTAACATTGATAAATAGGCCAGTTTACATATCTCAAGAGGTTTTTTTAGCAAAAACCAGAATTAAGCTTTTAACCCAACCCCAACCGCCCCACTTTTACTGAAGGTATTTTTTCAAGTTCAAAATAGATACTTGATACACCCCCCCCCCCTTACATGCAGTAACAAAACAACATAACAATATCAACAAAACAAAGCAGTTGCATCACAATTACAAAATGATGTTCAAAAATTAAAATCAAAAATTAAATTATCCTGATGAGGTTATAAGAAAACTTTATAAAAATGAATATCAGAAATGGAGTATTCTGAAAAAAAGGAAATGGCTGCTAACACAGTTAAGATAACAAAGCACTGAAAAGTGGTGCACAGGGCGTTGTAATTGAGATGTTAAAAACGGATTCTTTTAAATATTTACATAAAGTAGGATCGACTTAATACAAATAAAATTTTGATTCCTGTATGATTTAAGGAAACCGGTTTTTTAAGAAGACATTTTAAAAAATTTGCACAACAATTTAATTCAAAGCATGAACAGATTCTAACTAAAAACAAGCGGATAATAATGCCGGTAGAAAAGTAGAAATACATTAATTATTTTCCAGATTCGAACTAAATCTGCTAAGCTCATATGAGTTAACATTAGCGGGTGGAATGAAGGTAAACAGCTGAAATTGATCAGATCAATTAAATTGAAGAAAATGATTAAATTCAAGGATTAAAACAATCCATATTAATCGGCATGGAATTGATTTTTAATTTCTTTGATCAATTTGTTACAATTATGAAGATCAATTTGTCATGAGAAGATTATCCATGTGAACCAGATCAATTAATAAACAAATCAAAGCTAAATCCATATTTAAGTACGTACAGAGTCGGTACATATGGTACTTAGCAGGTACATAGATGTGTACACATCGAGACACTGTCAGGGAATTCTACTGCGGCATTATACACAAGAATAACCATGTACTTGAATAGCATAAAGGGGTTTGAACTTGTAATTTGATTTCAGGGGAAGATAGTTCTAAACTGTTATTTGATCAAAACCTGACACTGACAGTCAAGTAAGTCAAGTTTGGAACATAAGCACAGTTTGGAGCTTTCGACCCCGGTATATGTAAAACTTTATAAATAATTAAATAACAATTAGCGGAATATGTCCATGTGTTCAACATCTTCAGTTGGCACAAACTGGTCATAAGTATTAGTCAACGGCCAAAAATTTGACCAGTTTAGTACTTTTTAATATTTCTAGTCTAAATATTGCATTGTCAACTGTTTAGCTTAAACAAATCTGCTTGTATGAAATAATATGAGTTAAAGCGTTAAGGGTTGATTAACTGGGAATTATTACATATCTAAACCTGGTTTTATAATTTCATGTCTACAGTTGAACCCCTGGATAAGCCAGGATCAACAATACTCAGCTCAGATTAGCCCATTTTAGCTTTCTAGAGATGCTTTAAGCTTCTTAGAGCTGCTTTCCAGCCGCTTTTAGCTGCTTTATCTGTTCTAAGCTGCGTAACGTTCGTCGTTCAAGAAGTGATAAGCTGTGATCAGTGATAATCTACAGTGATCAGTAATGATCTGCAGTGGTCAGTATTGATCTGCAAAGATAAGTAATGATACACAGTGATCAATAATGATCTGCAGTGATCAGTAATGATCTACTGTAAATCAGTGAAGATCTGCATTTGATCAGAAATAATCTGTTAATATCAATGATGATCTGCTTTAAATCAGTAATGATCTTCTGTGACTAGACCACTAATGATCTGCAATGATCAGCTTTAATCAGCTGAAATCAGATCAGCTGTGAGGTTCAAACTTGAACTAGACAAAAATCTATTTTTTTTGTAACGCCTTGCATTTTGTGATACACTTTTTTGAATTTTTGTGATAGACTGTTTTGAATTTTTGTGATACACATTTTTTTGAATTTATCCGAGAAATTACTTCCTCGTTGTTTACAACTTAAAGTATAACACTTTACAAGGCGATACAGTACAATATAGGGTTCTATCTTAGTTCTTACAGATTACAGATGGATAAGACATGTAGAACAAAATTATATATATCACAAGTAATAAAAATTTATGTAAAAGACGATTGTACTTCTTCGTCGGTTCGTCAAGTCCTTCATTGGTTTGGTTTATTTTGGAAGAGGTTTTATCAAGAAGAGTTTTTCTCCCTTCTGAGAAGTGTAAATCGGGGCTCTCTGAAATAAAATATTGTTCAGTGCTTGATCTTTACACGAACCTGGCCATTTCTTTCTTAAATTAAAGGGACTGTTAAGGTAATTGCGAGTAACCCTACGGTTCATTGAACGAGCGGCATGACCGATTCACATCGGTGTGCTTTAAACATAAAGATATCTCATTAAATGCTTGATCTGACAAAGTTTAACAGGTGACTGTTGTAAATCGGTCATGCCACTGTATAGAGTAAAGATAGAGGTTCACTTGAATTTACGTCTATAGTCCATGCACCTGAACCCTATACTCTGACCCTTTTGCTTTGACTCCAAGTTTAAAACTTAAACATTGAACCTTCTTACTTTGAACTTGAAACCATGACTTTTGACCTTTGCATCGACCCTTACCTCAACCTAAACGTTGACCCCTGAACCTTGCTTTAACCCTTGACCCTTGCTTCAACCCTTGACCCCTGAACCTTGCTTTGACTCTTGACTCTTGCATTGAACCTTAATTAACCGTTGACACTTGCTGTGACCTTGACACTTGATTTAAAAAACCTGAACCTTGACCCTTGCTTTGACCTTGACACTTGATTTTAATTTTAACCCTTGCCCATTTCTTTTAACCTAGAACAATGACCCTTGTATTAAACCTAAAGCCTTGCTTTGACCCTTAGTCATTCAACCGGAAACCTTCCGACCTTTGCATTGCCCCCTATCTTGAACCTGACCCTTTGTCCTCTGGCACTTGAAACAAACTTTGAACCTTGAACCTAAGCCATTTCCTGTCCCTAACCTGGTAATGGTCGACAAGCTGTTGAAGTGAGATAAACTTCCTCTGTCCTATACAATACATTCCGTTCTCGACATGAACCCGGAAATGCTTGTTTCGGCCTGGAGCCTTCAACGATACAGAGAAATCACCAGTCTAAATCATGGAAATCAATAATGGAGGAGATAAGAAATGGAAAACATAAATGCTATAAGAGATTTAACAATGGAGAAAATAATTGATGGAGGAGATAAATTAAAAAGAGATAGAAAATATAAGAGATAAATAATGGAGTAGATAAATAATGGAGAAGATAAATATTAGAGAAAATAAGTAATGGAGGAGATAATTAAAAAAGAGATAGAAAATATAAGAGATAAATAATGGAGGAGATAAATGATGGAGAAGATAAATAATGGAGAAGATAAATAATGGAGATGATAAATATGTAGAAGATAAATAATGGAGATAATAAATATGTAGAAAATAAATAGTATGAAAGAAAGCAAATGACTTTTAAAGGGAGTGACCGGCAATGTATAGTAGTTGAACTGAGAATGTAGTATTGTGGAGACATTTTTAAGGATTCATTTGAGAAATATGAAACGTTTCCAAGCAAAGTAGACGTTCAAAATCATACATTTGGGTAGTTACGTTTTGAGAATCGATTTTTAAAAATTATTAAATAACGACGAAAAAAAATGTTAAAAAAATCTACAGTAAACCTGTAAGATGTTTAGAAAAATATTTCTTGATTAAAATTTCCTCAATAAATCAATGTTAGAATCAATTATTTCTATTTCATCATTATATTGAACTACCAAACATTTACGGTCACTCCCTTTACCTTAAAATCAAAATTAAGAAAAATATATGCTCATATATATATATATAAATAAATAAATATTCAGGGCTATAAAGGCAAGGTTTCCCCTAGAAAGCTCAATTTACCCAATATTATTTAATTTCACGCATAATTCACAATTTACGTTTGATTTCCCCAAAATTGTATTAAATTCAGATTTGCACCAGATAGAAAACCTAGCGACACCATAACATGGATTCGTAAAATTAAATGGTCCGTACTATTACAATTTAGAAAAAATCCTAGGGAAAAAAAGAGGTTCAATGAAAATCTCCGAAAAGAAATTAAGTCCACTTTACTTATTTATGCTATCAAGATTAAGAAAAACACAACAAATCGAAAAAAAATCTGTTATCCAATTTCTATTTTCCCAAAACTTCCTAAAGAAGATGTTAACAATTCTAAAGATGGTTTTAGTCCATAAAAAAAATTCTTCCTGCAAAGTTTCAAGTGGTAACTTTATTATAATTTTTCTTTAATTCTTAATTTATAACTTTTTTTTTGTTAAATATATCGTTTACCACTTTACCAGTACTCTTTTAGCAGAGAATTATTTAGTAAAAAAAGGTCCACATTTTTAGACCTAAAAAATTATGTTAAATCTAAAATATGGCACCCCAGAAATGTTGTTAAAATGTAAATTGATCTCCATGAGTTCTTATTTTTGAACAAACCTCGCCCCGAAGGTGGAAGAAGGGTGATTTATCTTTATGTAATAACTGTCCTTGTTTCTTTGAGTATCGTTAATCTTGAACGCTTAATCTCAATATTCAATGTGGACATCTTCATATTTAATGATAAATGCTGTATCCCTCATAACAAGTTATCTCAACAGGGTAAATCGAAAAGGAATCAAATACGTCCAAATGCCTGCAAAAGATGTATATCTTGTCAACTAACCGTAGATTCTGAATCTCGAACAATAAAGTCTCCATCTTGTCCCCTCTCCGACATCAGTATATCGCATTCACCACGGCTTATAGCGCCGTAGTACCAACTCTTACCAGTAATCTCCTCGCCACTGGTATTATTTCTAAACAGGTAATAAATCAATCAATCACTCAATTTATCACTAAATTTATCACCCAGTTACCCAATCAATCAATCAATCAATCACACAATCTATTAATCACTCAACCTATCCCTCAACCTATCCCTCAACCAATCACTCAACCAATCACTCAACCAACCACTCAACCAACCATTCAACCAACCACTCAACTCTACTCAACCACTCAAGCCTACTAAATCACTCAACCACTCAACCATTCAATCGCTCAACCACGAAATCAATCAGCCAAGCAGCCAAGCAGCTAATCAACCAAGCAACCAACCAACCAAGCAACCAACCAACTAACCAACCAAGCAACCAACAAACCGAAATTAATATTTAAAATTTTACCCGTTGGTTGAGCCACCTCCATTTGCTTGATTTTGATCCTTGGATCCAACATCTTGAGTTAGGAACTGGGAGAGTTCCAGGAGATAGTTAGAGGGAACCAAACCTATCTGTCCACACTGGTTCCTAGCCTAAGATAGATAAATAGATAGAGATGGATAAATATATAGTTAGAGGGAACCAAACCTATCTGTCCACACTGGTTCCTAGCCTAAGATAGATACATAGATAGAGATAGATAGATATATAGTTAGAGGGAACCAAACCTATCTGTCCACACTGGTTCCTAGCCTAAGATAGATAAAAAGATAGAGATAGATAGATATATAGTTAGAGGGAACCAAACCTATCTGTCCACACTGTTTCCTAGCCTAAGATAGATAAATAGATAGAGATATATAGATATATAGTTAGAGGGAACCAAACCTATCTGTCCACACTGGTTCCGAGCCTAAGATAAATAGATAGAGATATAGTTAGAGGGAACCAAACCTATCTGTCAACACTGGTTCCGAGCCTAAGATAGATAAATAGATAGAGATAGATAGATATATAGTTAGAGGGAACCAAACCTTTCTGTCCACGCTAAAAGAAGTGAGTGAAGAAGGGTAGTTAGGTTATCCTTCAGGTAACCTTCACCTTTTTCGGAGAAATTTTTCATTTAGAGACCCACAAGTTATCTCGGAGGGGGTGGGAAAAGGGAGGGGGGAATTTGAAAATAAATATTAAGGGATTTGGATTTTATCTTCATGGTCTAAACTAGCCACAAACCATTCTGGATCTGAAGCTTTTCTTTTTCTATTTTAGAACATACAATCTGTCTCAGAGGGAACAGATGCAGAAATAGATAGAAGGGGGGGGGGGGGGATATCTTTACACCTACCTTAAACCGTTCAGGGTCAGAAGCTGGTTTATCTCCTATCTGTCTCAGAGAGGGAAGGGTGTGGAAATAATAAGAGGGGAGATATATCTTTACACCTACCTTCAACCATTCAGGACCTGAAGCTAGTCTATCAAGGAACTACAATCTGTCTCAGAGATGGGTAGGATACAGAAATGGATAAAAGTGGGGGATATCTTTAACACAATACTTAAACCATTTAGGGTCTAAAGCTGGTATATCTTGGACCTCAAACCTCAGAGAGGGGAAGGATGTGGAAATAGATACGAGTAGGCGAGGGGTCATTCCATGTCAAGTCAACCACCTGATGGACAGCATGTCACAGATTTTGCTGAAATTTTGCATACAATTTGGAATATGAAAAAAAATCCCGGAACCCAAAGATGAGCATTCTGAGACCTCCGAGGCCGGAGATATGGCTCTGGAAAGTTTCCGATATTTTGAGATATCGAGAAGGCCTCTATAATTCAAATGGCTTTTACTTTTTTGTTTTAGAAGATAGCTCCAAAAAAATTTCAGTTTTGGCGTTAAAAGAAAAAATATCATTAAAACATTATTTACAGGTCATAATTGCATTTCTTTATTTTCAGCCTCCGTTTGAGGATGTGTGCCAATTCCGATTGTGTTGATTTTTAAAAAAAATTTTATACTACCATAAGGAAGGGGTTAGAAAGTTTTTTTATATGTATTGGTTCCTGTTGAGGAGGAGACCTGATAATGTAATGCTAATTTAGATTTCTTAATGTAACTAATAGGTAGTATTTCTGCTTAATTATTGTTATCTCTCCTAAACATTGATAAATATTTAATATTTGATACTTTTATGTGAGTAAGTGATCTAAATTATAAGAAGAGACCATCAATAGTATTTATTTAAACTATTGTACACTAAAAATGCATGTGTGTATTACTAATTTTTAAATATTTCAGTGTAGGTCTATTTTGATCTGTTCAGATGCAAACACACTGTGTGACTGAATCTTTTTGAGCAGTGGGGGTATGATTAATAATTTGACCCCCACCTAAGACTAATATCTAAGGTGTAAAAATAGACCTACACGAAATATTTAAAAATTAGTAATACACACATGCATTTTTAGTGATTACCTATTCAAAACTGAAATTTTTTTGGAGCTATCTTCTTAAACAAAAAAGTAAAAGCCATTTGAATTATAGAGGCCGTCCTCGAAATTTCGAAATATCGGAAACTTTCCAGAGCCATATCTCCGGCCTCGGCGGTCTCAGAATGCTCATCTTCGGGTTCTGGAAATTTTTTCATATCCCAAATTGTATGCAAAATTTCAGCAAAATCTGTGACATGCCGTCATTAGGTGGTTGGCTTGACATGGAATGACCCGGAGGGATATATTTACACCTACCTTAAACCATTCTGGATCTGAAGCTGGTCTATCTAAGACCTCCAATCTGTCTCCTTTACTGAAACTCAGCTCTGTGTCGTTCTGAGCCTAAATATTAATATTAAGTAAAAAATCGAGCCTAAGGATAAAAACTTAGAATAATGAATTTATAAGTATTAAAGAAGAGCAGAGGAATGATTTTATAGAAAAATATAAACCTTAACACTTGGTTATTTCTTAATGAATATGCCATGGACTATAAATAAATGATAATTTAATAAAGATATATAAATGGAAAAGGGGAATGCACATAATTTTTAATAGTATTATAAAGGTAAAAAAAACTTTTTAAAGTTTTCATTTGCTTTCTTCCAAGTTTCTAAATAATGAATGAGTTATTTAATAAATATATGCCACAAAGTATTAATAAAATAATTTGTATAAAGAAGACATTTCGAAAAATGCTGCAACTCAGAATTAATATAATAATAAAAATAGGTCGTCTATCTCCTCCTGTGTATAGTTAGACGGGAACCACCCAACCTAGATAATGAATAAACCATTATTTTTTTGGTAATTATATTCGTCTACATGTACAATATGCATTGTACAATGTATATGATGTATTTTTTTCAGTTTTTTATGTAAACTGCAGCAATGTTCTCGTCGTAAATACTAAAAAATGACAATGATTTTTTTTTACTTCATTGGCGGATTTCCAAGATATCAGTGCTTAAGATCCATTAAATTTTGATGCGGATCCGGATCCGGATCCTGGATCCGCACTGAAAAAAATGAATCCTGATCCAGGTCATTTCTGAATTTAAAAAAAAAAAAAATTTTAAATTTTTGTTTTATTTTTTCCCTTAATTCTATCCTAAAACTTGATGAACCATTCAGAAATGAGGAAGCTTTTATAATCTCTCTTTTTTTCAAAAGTTCAGATTTGGGTTTTAGGAGTAAAAAAGTTTTTTTTGCAGTTTTTGGTTGATTTTTTACCCCTTTCACCGAGCCATTGAGTCATGTGTGGCCTATCCACGTTTCAAGGTAAAGTTCCGTTCTCTAGATGAAATATACCTTGTTTCCATACTGTCCTCTCCACCATCCATCCCCAGACTTTTCTAGAATCATTACTCGGGATCCTTTGACTAGTGACAACTCATCCAGCTGCTGTGCCTAAAGTAGATACATTGGTTGGAGGTTCATTGGTTGGTTGGTTGGTTTGTTGGTTGGTTGGTGGTTCATTGGTGGGTTGGTTGGTTGGTTGGTTGGAGGTTGGTTGGTTGGTTGGTTGGTTGGTTGGTTGGTTGGTTGGTTGGTTGGTTGGTTGGTTGGTTGGTTGGTTGGTTGGTTGGTTGGTTGGTTGGTTGGTTGGTTGGTTGGTTGGTTGGTTGGTTGGTTGGTTGGTTGGTTGGTTGGTTGGTTGGTTGGTTGGTTGGTTGGTTGGTTGGTTGGTTGGTTGGTTGGTTGGTTGGTTGGTTGGTTGGTTGGGAAGTTCATTGGAAATTAGAAAAAGATGATTGATTAAGAAATGAAGAATAGAAAAGAAATAATTTTTACCTGATAATTATACTTGACAATTGCTGAGGCTATTGGTTCTGTTGGTTCAGAAGCCCCTCCTCCACCTCCATGGGATCTTCCTTTTCCTAAATAATTGTTTTGTAGAGGATACATTTCTTAACATCTAACATCGCAAATCCGGAAACAAGGATTCCACGAGTAGTTCTTTTAAAAGGCAATGGAGAAAGTCGGCTCTACAACATATCTCATTTAAAACGCGAAGTAAGAACTAAAGATTTAACAGCAGAAACAGCGGTTTAGAACTATAACTTCGGCTAATTTAATTTTATTTAATTAATACCTGTGTGAGGGGGAGGGGGGACTACATGTACAGGACTAGAGTTGGATGATGGTAATGTTTTGGATCCGCTGTTAGTGTTTCCACCTTTTACTTTCTTCTTTATGCTGAAATAAAACAGTTATAAATGCAGGGTTACCCACAAAGAATGAGCTGAAACTCTTTAAAATGTGACGATTTCAACGTTAAATTAGGTTTTCTACCATAATTATTGTCTTCTCATCGCTTATCGAATAAATGGAAAAGAAATGAAACAGTTTAGTTGCAGGAAATCATTAACAAAAGGATAAAATTAGGTAAAGTCGTCTCTGAATTCTCATCCTGTCCGGGTAACCCTGTGCAAAATCTAGATGTATAATCTTCAGGATCTACTTTTTTCTACATTTTTTGCAAAGTTTATAAAAGATAAATAAAATGATGATTTAATAAATAATANCCCCTTCCCTCCCTCTCCCTTTCCAAGTTGAAGCTATTGATTCAAAAATTAATCAACTCCATCCCATCCTTTCAACCCCTTCCCTCCCCCTCCCTTTCTAAGTTGAAGCTATTGATTCAAAAATTAATCAACTAAGATAATGCTTGCATAGGAATGGGTTAAAATCTTAACTAAGCATTTTGTTTACTTTAGATATTTTACAGAGTGTGAATAAAATCTGTTTATTTTCATAATTAGGTTAAACTGGTTTGCGGAGCTCGTGTAGACCTTATAGCATAAAAATGAATTTAGACAACTCCTTTTCAANCCCAAAAAATGAGAAGGGCTCACCTGTCAAAAATGGAAGGTTTTTCCTTCCTCACATAGTTAGAAGGAACATAGCCTAAACAATTGTTTTTTTCAAAATGCGCAAAAAATAATCAAACGCTTCTTTGTTTTTAAATGGCTTGTCTGTTTGTTGTGTTGTTTTTATCCAATAAATGTCTAAACAACAGCTAAAGCTAAACCGATCGGGGTCAAATTGCAAATAACAATAAAACTACATTTTTTTGTAATTCCACCAATGCAAATGATAAAGTCTGCTGTATAACAAATTGTTAATAGATTTTAATATATTAAGAAGTTATACATTTGAAAATAAAAACTTTTATAGTGAGCCGTGAAGCGCCCTGAAACCCTAATATTTTTGTTTTAAAAAGGGAAAATTCAAAAAAATTGAATTTAAAATCTTTTTTTCTTTAAAGACTTCCATGGAAAAATACATTTAAAAGTTAATAGAGACCCGAGTATTCAAGGTACTAATGCAAGGAAAGTTAATTGTGGTCTAGTATCCGAGGAGATTAAAGCATTTAATTTTGATAATTTTGATAATTCACGTAATAGTTCCCTATGACCAGAATATTTCATAGATTATTTTTGTGAAAATGGATTCCATGTCAGTCTGTGGAATCCGTCTTGTGTTTACTTTTCCGCCCAAAGACAGTACACTGCAGTACAAAAAAAATGCGTACACCTATGAAATAACTTTCCTTGCATTAGTACCTTGCGCGTATTGATTTTTGAAGAGAGCTAATTCAATTCCTTTTTTTAACGACTTTTAATATTTTTGAAAGATATCCAGAGGAAGAAAAAAATATACACCCCTGAAAATCTAGAAGAAAAAACATTTCAAACCTGTTTGCATCCGAGTATTCTGAACCCTCCACCAATGTTTACTGTCGTCAATTAAAAGTAACCTCTCATTCCTTCTCATATCTAATTCCTAAATTATTAAAGAAAATATTAAAGTGAATTTCTGAAAATGTTGTGATCATAAACGGAAAAATTGACGAACAAGAATGAAGTTTTTAATTTCGAGAAGAATTGAAACTCTTGAAACCTGCACAAAACTTCAAGATTTTTTTTTCAACAAAAAACATTTTTTTATTTTAAACTTTTGCTAAAACTTTTGCGAGGTAAATGATTTTTGAAAAATGGGATAAATGATATAGAAAAAGATTAAATGATTTTTGAAAAGTGGTTAAATGATTTTAAAAGGAGGGGGGGTGGGGGTCCTGGTTTCCTTGAGCCGTGTAATCATATTTAGCGAACACGAACTGGGCATCCTCCCCACTCCCCATATTTACCCCTGTATGTATTCAACACCTCTGAAACTAGAGAAAATTAAATTTATAAAACTAAAACAATATTTAAACATTAATAATATAGATATCAATCACATTTGTACATAGGTTTCGACAGACGAGCACTTTAAGAGTTTAACAAAACTTCCAAGTGTATTAAAAATTAACTTAACCATCAGAAAAATTTCAAAAATTAATTTCAAAAATCAATCTAAAAAGTTATTCTTCTAACTTCGAACAGAGTACATACATGTCTGAATGAAAAGCACTTTTAAAAAAATGAATAAGAACAATTTGCAACCCAATTTCGCAGACTTTAAGATATTTCAAACTAAGAATTCTGATCAAATAGTCCAAGTTTGACATATTGAAGATTTACACCATCAGATTTCTAAAATATATTAGGATTAGAAATTGTAAGTATGCGGCTAAGACTCAATTTCTTTGTAGCCATATCTGTATTCAGTTCAATGTAGATAGATACAGGATACGAATCTCTAATCCTCATCCAAATGAATTTGATCCTTAACACTGGATTATGAAGCGAGAACAAGCACCGGATTCTGATCCACTAACTCCTCTATAACAAGGTTCTGATCAGGGTTGAGCAAGGAGACGACCTGGACCCCGTCCTCGTCCTCCTCAAATATAGGAACATCAAGGGAGTCAGCTCCCTCCAAGGGCTCCAGGATTACCTCCTGGCTCAATTTTAAGGAGCGTCGATAATTTCTGGGTTTAATAAATCGATTCAGCTTTGCAACATGGCTTTTCATGTGCTTCACCAAATAATCTTTTCGAATAAATTCTTTTGCACATTCATCACATTTATAAGGTTTTGATCCATTATGTCTTCTCATGTGTTTTAACAAATCACTTTTCTTAAGAAAACTCAATCCACACTTATCACAAACTTCGTCTTTTTTACCCAAGTGGGATTTAACGTGCATACTTAAAACAGATTTTAACCTAAATGCTTTAGAACATAGGTGGCATTTAAAAGGGCGTTCTCCAGTGTGCACAGTAGAGTGTGTGACAAGCTCCGCCTTCCCTGAAAACGTCTTGTGACAAATTGGGCAGGTTGGACCCACCTTACCACTGTGCTTCTTCACGGTGTGCTCCTGTAGGTAGCGGCGGGAGGAGAACAGGCGTTGGCAGGTGGAGCACGGGAACTTGGTTGTATTATGCGCATCCTTAGTGTGCTGTTGCAGGGTTGCGTTAGTTGAATACTCCTTACCGCAGATTTCACATTTAGGGTTGGTTGTTCTCATGATATCATGAATGGCAAGATGATCTTCAAGTTCAAACTTCTCCGCAAAAGATTGTCTGCATCTGGAGCATTTATGAGGTTTACTTTTATGCTCCGACTTTAAGTGAAGAAGCATTTCGTCCTCAGTTTCAAAGCATTGAACACAGCTGAAGCATTGAAGTTTGGTCGGAGTTTCAGACCTACCAGATCTTCGTAATCGTTTAGGTGTATTCTTTCGTTTCCGTTTCTGACTCATGTTCAGAGAAATCAGATTTAAAGGGGATATCTCAGGTTCAGATGGAATAATCTCTCTCGATCTCCACTGTTTTCTCTCAAAAATTTTGAAATGTTTTTTTCCTCCAATTTTTTCATTTTCTTCATTTATTTTTTCCTCCTCCTAAACCAAGTGATATTTATTAATAATGCAATGAAAGTTTAAACTCAAAACTCAAACACTCAAATAAAGAAAAACTCGCGGAGAAAATGGATAAATGACAAAAAAGATTCCCGCCAAAAATAAGAAAAAGATTTTTAAGAAGGAATGCTTGAATTGGTTGGATGGTTTCCGAGGAAAATTGGACAATTAGATGTTTAAACAAAACAAATTAAAATTTGACATGTTTTCATAGTTATTGGCACTTTACCTTGCAGACTTATCTAGAAAATAGACAGATTTTAACAACAATTGACTTTGAAATTCATGAAATTGGCAGGCCAGAAGGGTTATCAAGGCCTGGCCCAAAGCCTTGAAAGGAACCCCGCTTATACATATAAACTAGGTGTTCTATCTATTATGCATAAATACTTTTATGAAAACCTGCCAGCTTCCTTCCATGATATGTTTAATTCTTTAGCTGAACCAAATGGAACAAAACCATATAAACTTGAACAGGTTCTCTTTAAAACTCTAGAATGTTTTACCTCTGCTTTATTTCCAAAAATATGAAATTCGATTGATTTAGAGCTGAAAGAAACTATATCTGCAAAATCGTTTAAAAGAAAAGTCGCCAAGATCTATTTAGATAGTTATGCAAGTTATATCTGTAAAAAAAAACTGTATCATGTGGACAAACTTAGTCTTTGCTATCTTCTTCACCCTGTAGTTCATAAACATGATTTTAATCACATATGTTACCCTCTGTTCCAACCCTTACGCTGAGTATCCTCTCTTTTCCTTATACTCCCTCACCTCCTCCTTACCTTTTTCCTGAGTTATCATCATTCTTATGTTTAAAATGCACAATGTACATTGTTTTTATTTGCAATTCTCATTCGTTTATAGTGGGCCAACCAATTAAAACAACCTACTCTGGTTAGGCGGGTCCAAACTACATAGTAAATTGTGATTTTTTTATTTGTATTATCTCGTGCTTTGTAGTTGAATAAAAATATGAATGAATTCGGGAAAAATTGAATAAATTAAAAATATGTACTCGGTTTCCTTGTTGAAAGTTGTAGGTTCTTTGAGATTCCAGTCTGCGGGTCTAGAAGAATCAGAATCAGAATCAGAATCAGAATCAGAATCAGAATCAGAATCAGAATCAGAATCAGAATCAGAATAAAAATCAAAATCAAAATCGTCCTTTAGGGACCTTCTCATGCACAAAGGTTCTTTAGTAAAACTGACAAAAACTGATTTTTTTAATTGTTGACAAAATTACTTAAGTTTGAGGTGAAGATGGGCCAGGTTTTCTAGTTGTTCCAGACTAAATTGTACTCCAGGGGTACATTGAAGTACAGACACAAGTACATCTAGAATGATTAATATATAGGGTACATAGAATATAATGAATTGTACTCCAGGGGTACATTGGTGTACAGACACAAGTACATCTAGGATGATTAATATATAGGGTGCGTAGAATATAATGAATTGCACTCCAGGGGTACATTGGAGTACAGACACAAGTACATCTAGAATAATTAAGATATAGGGTATATAGAATATAATGAATTGTACTCCAGGGGTACAATATCTAGAATAATTAAGATATAGGGTACATAGAATATAATGAATTGTACTCCAGGGGTACATTGGAGTACAGACACAAGTACATCTAGAATAATTAAGATATAGGGTATATAGAATATAATGAATTGTACTCCAGGGGTACATTGGAGTACAGACACAAGAATATCTAGAATAATTAAGATATAGGGTACATAGAATATAATGAATTGTACTCCAGGGGTACATTGGAGTACAGATACAAGAACATCTAGAGTAATTAAGATAAAGTGTATATAGAATATAATAAATTGTACTCCAGGGGTACATTGGAGTACAGATACAAGTACATCTAGAATAATAAAGATAAAGTGTATATAGAATATAATGAATTGTACTCCAGGGGTACATTGAAGTACAGACACAAGTACATCTAGAATAATTAAGATATGGTGAATATAGAATATAATGAATTGTACTCCAGGGGTACATTGAAGTGCAGACACAAGTACATCTAGAATAATTAAGATATAGTGTATATAGAATATAATGAATTGTACTCCAGGGGTACATTCGGGTCATTGGAGTACAGACACAAGTACATCTAGAATATTTCAGATATACTGTATATAGATAAGTTATTTTATTAGGTTTGGATTTATTACGAGTTACATATATTTTTTAAAGTTTAAAAAGTATCTTCAGTCGGGTTTTAATTTTACTTTTCTACTTAAAAGGAATATGGCCAAAATTTCAAGTGACCCTCCATTTAAGGAGCGGTGCTTTCTACCAGTGCTAAGGATTGGATCCGGATTCGTTGGATCCGCAACATTTTGGCTTCCTGGATCAGTAAATCTTAGATATTTTTTCATGACCTTGATCCGGATCCATTTCCGGAGTTGTATCCTGATTTTTCTTTTTCCAGTGTGGATCCAGGATCCGGATCCACATCAAAATCAAATGGATCCTATACACTGCTATTTTCCATCTTGAAATGTGTTAATTAAGCCATATATCGGAAGGATACACTCGCAAGTCACTTTAAAGGATTCCCACAATTATTAAGAAACAATTTTCAGTTAAAATAAGGATATCAAACACATCCTTGATCGGACAAAGGTTCAAAGTATATGGTTGGTGATCGGACATACAAAGGTTCAAAGTATATGGTTGGTAATCGGACATACAAAGGTTCAAAGTTCAATTTATACATGACCCAGATTTCTACTATTTTAAACAAAATTGATTTTTATTTATTTCAGGGTTTGGTTAGGTTAGAACAATTTCTAGGCCGAGCGCTGTGGCTATGAGAGGCTATGGGGTCGAGCGCTGAGACTCTCGAATTTGATTATTTTCGTCAAGTTTAGTAAACTTCTGAATTATTTCAGGGTTAAGTTAGGTTAATATAATTTCTTGGCCGAGAGCTGTGGCTAGGACAGGCTACGGGGCCTAGCGCCACGTCTAGAAAACGCTAGGGGGCTGAGCGCAGCGGCCTCATGGCTCCAAATATGCTCTAAAATGCTGTGTACAAAAATGATAACGGGGGGGGAGGGTGTCCAAAAAAAATATACTAGGAACTTCGTCTTTGTTTCTGATAACTAGCAAGGAAGATTTGATGTAAATCATGGATTACTTTTATAGCCTTTTGATAATTAAATGTTGTATTTCTTTTTAATTTTAATAATAAAAAATTGATCTTTAAAAGACTGGTACTTAATTACAAAATTCAAGTGAGAGCATGTTCTTGGCAACACAATTCCATGTCTAGAAACTTCCCAAATTGTAAATTTACCTAAAGCTAATCGGCTGCATTTCCTTCCTTCATTAGTTCCTCCTGTTAACCTTATATCTAAACATGTCTCAGCTCTTTCATTAAATAGGCTTTCAGCAACAGAATTGAAGTATTTATATCGTTCACCATTATTTATCATGATAACAATCTGAAAACGGATTTCAAAATATTAAGATCGAATTTTACTTTTATAATTTAAAAAACTTATTCAGTGCAACGAAAAACAGTATAAATGCGTTCTATTCGAGTTTCAATTGAAAAAAAAGTTAATAACAACATTTATGTTCGATTTAAGAAATGTGAATAATCACTTAATGAATTTAAAATTTGCTTTAATTATTTCAGAATATTTAAAACTTTATCACTGTCGATCTTTCACTCACGTTCCTCAAATAAGCAGCAAACAGAAGAAAAGACTTCTAACACAACACACAAAATCAAGAACCCAAAATAATATTTGTACACTTCTCTAGCCTTTTATTAATAATCCCCCGAAGCAGGTACATAGCTGTCGCCATTTGTCAAAACACTATTTTGCCATTCGGCCTTTCGCTGTATTTATTTGTCAAATTTAAGAATCACAGGGATACTGAATTTAATGATTTCATGTTTTTTACCTTTAGTCAAGAAAATTTTATATTTTCTCAGTTTTCGCTAAGGTTTCCGAAAAGAGTCTAAAAAGTCGGCATAAAGTAATGTCTGCTACTTTGTTCCTATGGTTGAACGTGCGGTTGCCGCGCTCTATTGATTTTTTTATATTCGAGTCCATATACAAACATTTCATTATTCATAAAGCCTCTCAGAACTCTAGACTCGAATGGACACCGCCCTATTCTAATAAGGAATTTATTTTAAATTCTCAATTGGAAACAAAGTTGTAATTTAAAGAATAAAAGGAAGAGCACAAATAAAACAATTGAAAGACATGAAACATGTAGAAAATAATGAGGATAAAGGAAAAGCATCAGAGGAGTGGAAAAGAATGAGAAGAGTAGAGAACGGATGAGCTGAGGTGGATTAATTAAGGATGAGGAGAAGTGTAGATTAAGGATGAGAATTGAGTGGAGAAGGATGAGAGGAGTGGAGAAAGATGAGAATGGTGCAAAGTAGGATGACACGAGTGGAGAAGGATAAGTTAAATTAAATATAGAGAACTATGGTCAAGCAGAAATGCCTGAGTGGGAAGACCAAGCTTCCAAACATCAATGCTATAAAAAAATGAAAACAACTGTCAGTGGAAAAGTATCTTTTGAAAACGAAACTTTCTGGAGAGAACATACAGAAACACCCATAAAACAAGGACATTTTCTCTGCCTGGCAATGCTTGAAAAATCTGACATGATCTGGAAATCTTACATGTTCAATCTGAAGAAAGGTACACTGAAATTCCTACTCAACTCCTGTTTGGACACCCTGCCAACACAAACTAACCTTCTACAATGGGGAAAATCTGCATCAGATCTCTGTAAACTATGTCTACAGGCAGGCGCTGAATTGCAAGGTAGAAGACAAGAAACTACAAACCATATTTTGAATGGCTGCAAGGTTGCACTACACCAAAAAAGATATACTTGGAGGCACAACAATCTTATTAAATATATAACTGGATTAATTGATATTGACCGATTTCTGATGTATGCCGACATCCCGTCCCATACCCTTCCAGGGGGAGGTACTGTTCCCCCCCACCTCCTTGTGACCGCAGAGAAACCAGATCTAGTAATTATCGATAGAATGGAGGAAAAGATGGATATTTTTGAGCTTACTGTCCCATTGGAAACAAATATCAAAAATGCCAACGCTCAAAAGATGAACAAGTATGAACATTTTATTACAGATATAACAACTAGGGATGTGTCTGTTCATCCTTTTGAAATCGGCTCAAGAGGATATATCTCACCATCAAATAAGGCGATTCTAAAGAAACTGCATAAGTTCTGCAAACCCAGTGTTAGTTTCAAAGCAATGTGTGAAAATCTATCAAGCCTTGCTGTACTGTCATCATACCACATTTTTAGAAAACGAAAAACACTAGACTGGGACCAAGAAACCCCTTTTCTGAAAACCACCTCTGAATAGCTAAACTATACTCATGCTAAAAGTCTTGTATTGCACCTTTTTTGGCAAACCCTGTCAATTTTAAAATGCGATATCCAGAGAAAAGAGTATTAGTTTGTAAACTTTTATATTGTTTAATGTAATTTTGCTTTAGACAAATATAAATGATAAATATACTTGTATTTGAAGTTTAGGTGCAGAGAGATGAATCTGGAAAGTTGCTCCCACCAGATCCTGTGCAATGAGCAATAAAATGACACTTGTGCAAAACGTGCAAATTTTCTGCACATACATTGTTGATTAATACGAGGAATTGATTCATGGCCACTAACTTAAATTTTCTCATCACTAAAACTTTGCAACCTGATGGTGTAAGATAAGATGATATTTTAAACTTAGATCATTTGATCCAACAGAATTCTTAGTTTGAAATATGTAAGGTCTACAACATAGGATTGCAAAGATATAGGGCCGGGGGTCAAGTGATTAAATCAAATAATCTTTAACAATTTCTAGATGATTTAGAACACATTCCTGATTTAAAATGCGTTCCCAACTTAGAACGTGTTCTTGATAATAAGAACGGATTAACGGTTTTAACCGTTCTTTTCAAGCAATTCCCTTTCTGTTCTTTTTCTAATCGTTTCAATATTTTTAAGAATGCGTTCTAAGCGTTCGTTTTTTTTCGGAACGATGGGATTGTTCTTGATCGTTCCACCAGGAAAGCGCCCAGCCCTAGGCATGTCCGATTTACGACTGTACCCTTTAAACATTTATCTGAGAAGCAATGAATCTCTCCTATTGCATAAATCCGTAAATCACTTTTAAAGAGAATTTCGCAATTAATTTAAAATAATCAAGTTTAAAATAAAAAAGAGAGATAACCCAATCATTTTTGCTGAGACAAAGATTTAAAGGATAAAGTTGTGAATCAGAAAACCCACTGTATAAATTGAGGCTCACTTGAAATGACTTCTACAATCCCTGATTATTTTTAACTTTGGTCCCATTGAACATTAAATATCCTTGACTCAGTACAAATAATTATAATTTTAAAGGAATTGATTTTTTAATCTTTAGGTCGAGAATACCTCAGATATTCCAAAATTTAAGTTAAATAAACATTCCAATTTTCTAATCACTTTACTCTTGCAACCTCTATTTAGACTTTACGACTGTAGGCTCGCACAATATCAAAGTTTAAAATTTCAAAGGTCTACGATATTTGGTCGAAAAGATGTAGAGATTAGAAAATTATAATTTGAGGCGCGTTATCAGTTCAATCAATAAATGATTTAATAGGTTTGTGAAACTATTTGCTTTGCAGCAACATCAAATACACTTAATCCTTGATTTTATGTCGTCTTCTTTTTTCAGAGTTATTTGGTTCTCACTGCAATTTTGATACCTCTAATTATTCCAATAGTAACTCAAAAACTGTTTAAGAGCAAATCTGAACAGAAAATGTAAAATACTATAAATAATTCAATTTATAAAAAAATTTCCGAAATAAAAAATCGAAATATATGATTTAAAAAATCCACCAATTTAAATAGAAAAATCATCAACATTTGTTTGAGTTGATTTCAAAATGGCAGCTTGAAAAGCAACATTTACAGGAACTGTAAATGTAATTCCGGACATTTGTGAATTACATTTTTTTAAAGTTTTTTTTTGAAACCTTGTCTCTTGTTTTTTTTTCTTTTCTTTTATAAAACTTCAGTATTTAATATGACATTTATTAATTTCTTTAATTTGGTTGAATTCTTTATATATTATTGTACGTATGTTGGCCTAACGGCTGAACCGAATTGCCTGATTCATTTTAGAAACTCATGGGTACATTAATAGGGGTAACATATAAGCTTAAACAATCGAATTTTTTATTCCACGGGCAACGCCGGGCACATCAGCTAGCTATTATATAAAATGTTTTAATAACAGTTAAATTTCTGATAGTGCAGTTTAACAATAATCGCTTGGGGTAGAACCAAATTCTAAAATACTCTCATATTTTCCATGTTTGGGTATTTGAGACAAATCTCTTGCTGGTGCCAGTCCAATCTCTCTCCCCAGCCTTCTTGGAAAATCTTGTGTTAAATTCTTCCCTTTGGTTGACCAGCCCCCAGCATCTATCCTCTCCTGGATCCGTTGGTTTCTCCGTCCTCCTCTAATCTGCAGACCACCCTGAGCAACTTCGTCCCGGGGTGTAGTTCTAGGCTTCTCAAACCTTGGTCCATCTCTAATCCGATCTGATAATGAATCCAAGGATTCAATAAAGGCAGGGCCCTGTGCTACCTTGTACCCCGAGGGAGGACTATTTTCTCTGATTCCGTCGAATTCATCTACGGGGTTAGTAAAGTAATCAATATCTCTTCTGATTTTTTCACTAGGATTAATATTTGTAGTTCCGTTTCTTCTTAGGTCCTCAGTGTTAACATCAGTCCTAAATAAGACGTTTAGATACAGTTTGAAGGTTTAGTTCAGGGTTACCAACAAAACATGAGACTTTTATGACGACCTTAGACACTTTAAAGACAAGGTTGGGAGAACAGATGATCAATGAAGAGGAGAAGGATGGGAGAACGGATGATCAATGAAGAGGAGAAGGATGGGAGAAAGGCATGATCAATGAAGAGGAGAAGGATGGGAGAACGGATGATCAATGAAGAGGAGAAGGATTGGAGAAAGGAAGAGCAATGAAGAGGAGAAAGATGTGAGAAAGGATGAGAAATGAAGAGGAGAAGGATGGGAAAAAGGAATATTAATGAAGAAAAGAAGGTTGGAAGAAAGGAAAAGCAATAAACAGGAGAAGGATGAGCGAAAGGATGATCAATGAACAGAACAAGATTTTGATAAAGTACGATTAATGAATAGGGAAAGAATGGGAGAAAGGATGATAAATGAAGAGAACAAGATATGGAGAAAGTACGATCAATAAATAGGAGAAGGATAGGAGAAAGGATGATCAATGAAGAGGAGAAGGATGGGAGAAAGGATGATTAATGAACAGAAGAAGGATGGGAGAAAGGACAAGCAATAAACAAGAAAAGGATAGGATTTAGGTTTAGCAATAAACAAGAAAAGATTTAGGAGAAAGGAAGAGCAACAAAATGGAGAAGGAAGGGAGAAAATACGAGTAATACACAGGAGAAGGATGGAAGAAAATATAATCAATAAACATTAAACAGGAGAAAGAAGGGGGGAGGGGGAGAATGAATAGTAAACAGGAGAAGAATGGGAAAAGGATAAGCAATAAGCAGGAGAAGGTTGAAAGGGAGGATAAGCAATAAACATGAGAAGGTTGAGAGGGAGGATAAGCAATAAAAAGGAGAAGGTTGAGAGGGAGGATGAGCAATAAACAAGAAAAGGTTAGGAGAAAGGAATAACAATAAAGAGGAGAAAGATGGGAGAAATTATAATCAATAAACAGGAGAAAGCAGGGGTGGGGGGATAATGCATAATACACAGGAGAAATGATGAGCAATAAACATGAGAAGGTTGGTAAAAAGAATGATCGATGAAAAGAAGAAGGTTGGGAGAAAGGATGATCAATGAATAAGAGAAGGTTGGGAGAAAGCAATAAACATAATAAAGAATTATCAATGAAGAGAATTGAAAGTCCGATTACCTATTCGTATTACTCCTTCTGGTGAGTAATACAAGCCCTGCTCCCACTATTAAGCATAGCCCCAGCAGGGTTGAAACCACAACTATTATTATCACTGTGGTGGGACTACTCTCCATAGGGCAGCTGACTTCACTAAAATAAATATAGATAGTTAATTCTGTAATATCATGTATCCTGATTCAGAACCCAGAGTTGCCCAGCGTACTCATAGTTACTCCCGCCGTTTACCCGCGCTTGGTCGTAAATTACGGTTTTAGCTATTTTACTTTTTAATTGAACCACTCAACTTAGAATCTTAAAATCAATAACAATTCCATGGTTCTCCCGAGTTTCCAAACTAAATTTTTAGGCAAATGGACCCAGGGGTTCCTGAGTTATGATCGGACATCCAAACAAATAGAGATTTCTATTTCATGTATCCAGCATGTCCTGTATCGTGTATAATGTAATCCTGTATCCTTTATCCAGTAATCAGTATCCTGTATCCTGTATCCTGTATTCTGTATCCTGTATCTTTTATACTATGCATCATTTTAGACTTGTCTCATCTCTGCAACCAAATTTTGTTTACAAAAGTCAAAGTTTGAAAATTCAAAGTTTGTACACCATGATGTTGCGAAGTTTGTACACCATGATGTTGCTAAGTTTGTACACCATGATGTTGCTAAGTTTGTACACCATGATGTTGCTAAGTTTGTACACCATGATGTTGCTAAGTTGTACACCATGATGTTGCTAAGTTTGTACACCATGATGTTGCTAAGTTTGTACACCATGATGTTGCTAAGTTTGTACACCATGATGTTGCTAAGTCATAAACCAATAAACTGTGAAATAGGAAGACGATATTTAAGCAATCTTTTGATGCGGTGGTGTATTTTTCGACCTACACATATCCGCCATACTCCACTTCTGACCTACGCCAAATCCGCTATACTACACATCCGACCTACTAGCACGTGGTATTACAGCTGTTATATGGACTTGTGGCCGCAGCGCCCGGGCCCCTAGCCTGTCCTAGCCGCAGTGCTCGGCCCAGAAATTGTCTTAACCTAACCTAACCCTCAAATAATACTAAAAGAAACAGCTGGTGTAGGTCCGATATTGCAGTAGGTCGGAAAGTTAGTAGGTCAGAAGTTCAGTAGGGGGGATGTTGCGTATAGACGATGTAACATTACCGTTCTTACCTTTGATGCTGTTGAAAAGCCATTAGTTTAACCCAATAGCTTGGAAATCAACTTATTAAGTGAAATGTGCGTGTGTCTACTGCACAAATCCTGTTTATCATGTTTATTGGACTATGAATGAAATCATAAATTGAGTCGTCTTCATATAAGTATTGTGGGGCACCTGAGATCAACGGTCCACTGATGATCTTGACAGACTGTACTTCCTTTCAAGGTGTTTCCACAATATTTTTGACAGCTAACCCCTCCATCATAATTCTAAACAAATTGAATAATTCTTTAAAATTTAAGATGTATATTTTTTAATGTTTCATTTGTACATTACATTTTATTTTACTGTAATGCATATGTGAATATCTATTTTTATATTTATGTTTATATTTATAGACCTGTATCGAGAGCTAAATAAATATTTAAAGGAATTGAGTGTTTGCCACAAACTCTAATTTTCTAATTCTTTTATCGTTGCAACCCAGTTTCTTAGACCTTAGATAATACTATAAATTCTGTTAAATCAAATAATCTAAGTTTTAAATATCAAAGCATTGTAAGGTTGTAAAGATATAGGAAAAGAGAAAATTTGAGGCAACAACTCAGTTCTTTTGTTTAAAGGAATTGAGTTTTTGCCTCAAACTCTGATTTTCTCATCCCTATAACTTTACAACCTAATGTCGTATACCCTTGATATTTCAAACTATGAATCATATTAGACCACATAATCTAAGTTTGAAATATCCAAAGTTATTACGGTTAAGGATAAATGCTTGATTCCTCAAGTAAAGTAAACCCTGCTGGGTATAACAAGCACGGGATATCGAACAGGAATCAAATTAACCCTAGGTCTGAATAATTAAGATGGAGATCAATGCTTGATCCTTAGATTCCGGTCCACGATTAGGCCTGTCGATCTTTGTGTTTCATGTTTATTTTTATAACTGAAGTACTAACAGTCGTCTTTATTTTCTACAGTTGCATGGGTCCTACTGTGCAGTGTGCAGTGTAACAAATTTGTTCATATTTTTAAATTTCCATTCTCTAAAACCGTCATAATCCATTTTAAAAAGCAATTATTGAAACCTTTGAAAAGAAAATCTCTAGGATCAATCCATCATGTGAAATTTATTGATCTTTTTAAATCCTCAATATATTCAAGTGTGGTTTCTCTATACACAAGAGTGACTTGCGCATTTGTATTGTTCTGCAGGAAGACATATTTTAAATATCAGAAATAAACACTTTTAAATCTAGAAAAACGACAACATCTTCCACATTATTGATCAGATAAAGTTTCGAGGGTACCGTTGTGAATCGGCCATTGCCAACTTTGCATACCGTGACATTTGAAATTACGCTTTCAATCCTTTATGAGTCCGTTTATCACGCACCTCTGACCCTTCAGTAAAAGTAAATTCAACCTGAAGTCTGACCGCGTCAACCTTGTTGCACCGGCTAGTCCTATTGAGTGTCTTCTTTATTTACCCAATGTCTGGGCGATGCAGTACATTCTGGGGCCGGAAAGGTTGACCCGGCTCGGAAATTCAAATGTACTACGGCTGCCCGTGCAGTATTGTACTTACATATATAGAAGGAAACAAAAAAATGAAGAAATCAGTATTTATAGCGTAAAATAAAAATAAAAATGCGTAGAGAAACTACTATTAAAAATAATAAGTTTTTCAAATTATCAACATTGATATTTTTACTTCATTATACTTCATTAGACAACGGTTTTAAGGGTAGTCTTAAATCGTGTATCGTCATATTTCTTGGAAGTTGATTTGAACCACATTATTTTTGCTACGAAAGAAGAAATTGCTACAGAAGAGATCTTCTTAAAGGTTGCCATATCTCGAGATATTTATCATCAGAACGTTTCATGAAATAATTCATTATCTTCCCTAAGCCCATGAATTATAAATTTAACAATCTTTTTTAAGTTATTGCTTAATTTTTAATAAAAATGGTCAAAAAACTAAAAAGACATGTTTTTAGGACACCCTTTTGTATTGTAAATGAGAATTTAATCAAGACTTTTGGGTTAAGGTTAGATTGAGAATTATAGGTACAAAACTGTAATTACGTTTTTAAACATTTTATTAAATGAAAATAATCTGCGAAACGTTTATAAAAATATTTCCCAAAAAAGTGTTTGCTTTTAATGTTTACAGAGTTTTAGATATATAATGATATCTCAGACNGCCCCCTTGCTCCAAGCTACCTCATAAGAAGAATAGAGTTTATTATTGTAGCATTAAACTTATCTTAAAGATAACAAATTTAGCATTATTCATATTATTCATTATCTATTTTGTTAAAAATCAAGCTTGTTATCATATTAATTTCTATTTTAAATATTTTATATAAAAGTAAGTGATTAAAGTTTGTCCGCGCATTTTATTTTTAACGTCATGTAATTACTATATGATTATGAATGTAATGAAAAATGTTGACGTAGAGTAGATTTCGAAAAATGGCTTTCTTTAAATCTATATTTTTTTCAGTAATTTATTTGACAATCCAAGCCGTTTTCTTTGTTTAAAATCCGCGAAAGTATTTGCATGAAAGAGTAAAGAATTTTTATGATCATTTTAACAAATTGGTTGTATTATCTAATTATCTAACTTTCTCTTTGCTACTTTAATGCATAACGTTTTTTTGTTATATTTATAAAAGCCACTGGAGTAACAGCATGTCATATATTAATAACAGGTGGGGATATATACCTTTAGAGAGGTGGATGGGTAGGAACATGTCATATTAATACCAGGTGGTGGGGATATTCCTTTAGTGAGCTGGATGGGTAGGAACATGTAATATTAATACCAGGTGGTGGGGATGTACCTTTAGAGAGGTGGATGGGTAGGAGCATGTCATATTAATACCAGGTGGGGATATACCTTAAGTGAGCTGGATGGGTTGGAGCATGTCATATTAATACCAGGTGGTGGGGATATACCGTTAATGAGCTGGATGGGTTGGAGCATGTCATGTTGATACCAGGTGGTGGGGATATACTTTTAGAGAGGTGGATGGGTAGGAGCATGTCATATTAATACCAGGTGGTGGGGATATACCTTTAGTGAGCTGGATGGGTAGGAGCATGTCATATTAATACCAGGTGGGGATATACCGTTAGAGAGGTGGATGGGTTGGAGCATGTCATATTAATACCAGGTGGTGGGGATATACCTTTAGAGAGCTGGATGGGTAGGGGCATGTCATATTAATACCAGGTGGTGGGGATATACCGTTAGAGAGGTGGATGGGTTGGAGCATGTCATATTAATACCAGGTGGTGGGGATATACCTTTAGAGAGCTGGATGGGTAGGAGCATATCATATTAATACCAGGTGGGGATATACCTTAAGTGAGCTGGATGGGTTGGAGCATGTCATATTAATACCAAGTGGTGGGGATATACCTTTAGAGAGCTGGATGGGTAGGAGCATATCATATTAATACCAGGTGGGGATATACCTTAAGTGAGCTGGATGGGTTGGAGCATGTCATATTAATACCAAGTGGTGGGGATATACCTTTAGAGAGCTGGATGGGTAGGAGCATGTCATATTAATACCAGGTGGTGGGGATATACCTTTAGAGAGGTGGATGGGTAGGGGCATGTCATATTAATACCAGGTGGTGGGGATATACAATCACATGTTGGATCAACTCCATCCCAACTTCCGTTCATACATCGTCTACAAAAAAAGGTATGTTAAGATTCTCGTATTGTTCATGATATCATTACAAACTCTGATTAATTTGATGTACCGGACTGACTTTTAAGTAGAACAGGGCAACTTGCACAGTATGCATGCAGACTGTAGACGGCAAACCGGTACGGTACACAAATGAAATTATCTTCTAATCACGAGATTATTGTGATTTACTCATTCGAATCTTTTGCCTTTTCTAAACAAACAAGCATAATTAGAAGCTTAGGCATGTGTGTAAAAAGTGATGTTGATGTTTTGTTTTAAATTTGACTGTGACGTACTACGTCTGCTAGGAACTGGTTTTATAAAAACAATAACAAAGATTGTAAACCAACAGTAAAACTGATGTAGTGCATGGGGTGGACTCCCCCTAAAGTGTTAACCATTTCAACACAATGTTAGACATAAAAAGCAATGTTAAAATATTAAAAATTACTAGTTGACATATATTAGATAATTTTTAATGTGTTTTTCAAATCAAAATACATTAATAAATATTGGACATTGTCATAACATTGCTATTTATGTCTAACATTGTGTTGAAATCGCTAAAACTTTAAGGGAGTCCGCCCCATGCAGAAGTCCACTCCATGCATGACACCGGTCTTGTTTATTAACTAATGTTTCTTTACCTAAACTAGTTCCTAAGTGGATTCATATTTCATAGTAAAATCCACACAAACCCTATCCTTCCCACTTTTAGTACACATCTTCTTTGGTTTGCATTATTTTGATTACCTCACTGTTAATTTATTAGAACATCTGTGATAACAATAATCCAGGTTGCTGATTGGAGTATTCTCAGCTGTTTCTGAATATAAAACATATAGACAGGGATAATGACGACCTACTATTTAAATGTAGAGGATGAATTCAGTCTTCTGTCCAGAATGTCTTGTTAACGTATTTTAAATAACTTGACACAGAAAAGAAACAATTTTACAATTATAGGAACCCTGACTGCAAGTCTAACAAGGCTGAATAAATTTCGCACAGTCATCTGAAAGCACAGATTAGATTTCTCTTCATATTATGTAAAAATGACCATAATAGAAACTTCTACCCCCCCCACCCTCCTCCCCCGTGACTTGTCTTTACCAAAACCCCCATCGGAGAAAAACCAAACCAAAGCAAGTCTCTGTTCAAATTTATCCATACTCTCCGACAAAGAAACAACAGTGAAACGTTTTGCTAAGTGAAAGATCAAATCCTTAAATAACTTTACAATCAACAGTTAATTCCACTTAAACAACCGGGTTTATATTTTCAGAAGTATTTACAAATGTTTTAAACTATTCCATCAAACAAGCAAACCCTAGAATAGAAAATAGTGCATAAGACTTATTTCAAAGATCATATACAAAGCTTAGAAAATAAGTAAAAGCATGCTTGTTAATAAACATAGCAAAAAGACGTAGAAAAAAAACATGGATCATGTATTGACTACATAATCTAGAGCGTAGAAACAAAATATCTCAGTTGCGTCTGTTTACCTGACGAATTCCTATTGTTCTGACAGTAGTAATGACCTCCTTTAGGAGCAGGAACTAGGCATGTAGGACAGTTTCTAAAATAGAGTTCTTATTGATCTGACAGTAGTAATGACCCCCTCTCTAGGAGGAGGAACTAGGCATGTGGAACAGGATCTAAAATAGAGTTCTTATTAATCTGACAGTAGTATTAATGACCCCCTCTCTAGGAGGAGGATTCTAAGTGAAACAAACTAAAAACAAACGTTAAAACCATGTTTCTTCATTTCGTCCATTGTAAATTACAATTAATTGGTATTTCCGTTTTAACCACATTTTTCCCTACATAAAAATAATCGTCAATTAAACTAAATCATGTTTTTTTTACATTTCGTTACTTCTTTTTTGTATGTACTGGGTTGTTTACAGGTAACTGTGATATATAATAAAATAGCTGAGTAACTAGTTTTATCTATCTATCGATGCAAGGTGTTCTAGCTGCCTGCCTGGATCTTAGTGCCTTTCTTTAGTTCTAATTGCTTACTTGGTTCCAAAAAAGCAGCCTATACATCCTTTGTTTATATTCAGGCATCTCTTGTACAGGAAGCAAGTGTTACTTAACTACAACAAAAATAAATATATGTCGTCGTCGCATGTAGAATTACAATGAAGACGAATTTAGATTTAAAGGGACAGACCGGCTGTCCCATTAATTTTTTTTTTTTATCAAGCTTTTAAACAGCATGGATACAGAAAAAACACGGAAACAAAGAGATGTCAATTAAAAAAGCTTCTCTTTGATTACTTGTAACAGCTTGTAGCTAGAAAAAAAGCTTGTAAACAATCAAAATAAAAAAGTCGTCTTCATTGTATCGATATAATCTCCGCCCACTTTACATTGTAAAAAGATAACATAATAGTACAAGAATGTTTCAAAAAACTGAAAAAAAAACTTAAAATTGAGTATTTATTTCAAAGTAGTTTCAAAGTGGTCAAAGTAGTTTCAAAGTAGTTTCAAAGTAGTTTCAAAGTAGTTTCAAAGTGTCTAAAATTATATAGAATCTACACTAGAAACTTTCACAACTTTTAATTAATGAAATGGTTTATATTATTATCTCTTAAAATCAAATTTTAAATGTAACTTTCGAATAAAGAGGAGTGGGGAGGATATTGATTTAAAGGAATTGAGTCTTGGCCACAAACCCAAATTTTCCAATCATTATCTTTGGAGTTTAAAGTCATTTTGTTATTTCAAACTTAGATCTTAAAGAACTGATATTTTAGAGTATCTAAGGTCTACGACATTTGGTTTCGTAGATATTGGGACTAGAAAGTCAGAGTTTGTAACAAAGACTAAATTCTTTAAAAGCTTCAAGCTTAAGTATTGATAATTCCCCTGATGGCTTATGTGTGAAAACTTAAAGTAAAGGTAAAATTCTCATTTTGAAAGATGGAAATTGAAGTACGAATTCTTAAAAGAAGAGTTTGCGAAAAATTAACAAACACAAGAAATTAATAGTAAAAGAGAATGCTTTAAAGCAATTGATAAAAGTCTAATTGTCTCGTAACATGTTTTTCAAATTGTAAAACATTAAAAAAACATTTTTTAAAGGTAATTAACAAAATAAATTTGAAGAGGAAGTATTTGGTTTTTCATGAAATTCCAAGATTTCATATATTCCAAGTTTGCTAAATGTTGACCTATGCTCCTGAGTCCTCAACGTATTTGATCTCTGTTTTTCTAATCCCTATATCTTTGCAACCTAATGTCGAAGACCTAGGATATTTCACACTATGAATCCTAATAGATCTAATAATATTTACCATTAGATTGCAAAGATATAAGGATTAGAATGTTGAATGTGTGTCGAAAGACTGAATGTTCTTTAGAAATGAATTAAATGAAAGTATTACCGGAGAAATGACAAAATCATTATACCAGGTGAAGAATGCACAATCTGAACAAAAAAACGTTTATTTTTAAATTTGTAATTCAATTAATTTTATTTTTTACAACAATCCCTTTAACTTTTTTATTATTATAAAATAACAAACAAACATAAAGAATATATTGATAACCCAGTAAACTATGATAAAATAGATAAGATATTTTTTTAATTTTAAACAAATTTGCACTGCACCGTTTTATAATTTATAATTTGTCCTTTAGATTAGTGTGCAGACACCCTGACCCATTTGTGGAGTGGCGAGTCTCATTCACAACAATACCCTTTAAACCTTTACTAATCAAATATGTCGGACTTCTCCTTCCTGTTAAATTTACAAAACGCGTGTAAGTGTTGAGCACTTTCTTATCTATTCCTTCTAATACAATTTATCAGGAAAAGGTTGATAAAGTGTAGTATTGTAAATCTATTACTCGAGATGACGTTTACAAGTCCCTTTAAGTTTCTCCAATATGCCCAAGAAACACAAGGCGATATTTTATAGAAGAAAATACTAAAAAATCAGAGGCGTATATATAGGGGGCTATAAACCCCTTCCCCCCCCCCGGTTCAGTGAAATCTATGGTTTCCAGGTTTGTCGGGCGAGTCGGGCCCACCTAACAACAAAAAATCTAAATTTCACCTGGAGAAATTCCTGTGTACGCCTCTGGTAAAAATGTCTACCTGGGTTCTGTTGACAATATTCTTGGCATGCTGCTGTAGTGTTGACACCTTCAATTCTATCCAATACATCTTCACTCTCTGTAGAACAACATTTCATGAACTGGAGAGGTCGCTGCCCGGTTCAAGTCATTAATCACTGATTCAAAGTTAGAGATTTATAAGGATTTGAATCGATAAAGGATTTGAACCAGTTCAGCGACCTCACCAAATCATTAATTTCGGTCCCTGGATAGTTTTGTATACAGCTTCCCACTTGACTACACTCGTCTCCGCAAATAAACCTATATAATAATAATTATGCGAATTAATTACAATCAAATCTTCAAACCAAAACATTATTACATATTCCGTTTTGCAGGACTACAGACGAATAATATTGTACTTATTTCCCTTGGGATAATTAGATTAAATAACTTCCCACCCCCCCAATTATATAGATGTAAATAGCCCCCAAGTCGCCGGTAAGAGTACCCCAAGATAACCCCACCGGTCACCATGTAAATCCTCGGATTAGAATTATTCTTACCCCTTCTTATGTTTTGGGATTTGAACAGTTTCTAACGATTTTTCAAGCTGGGAATGTAATCTGTTTGTTTTAAGTAGCTTTATAGTAAAAAAAACATACAGTGAATCCACGATATAAGAATACATAGCAAGAGTTTTTTTTATAATGTCGTATTAAATATTTAAGATCAAATGCCGCGGAAAAATGAGTTTAATATTAATATATCAGTTGCATTCATATTTCAGGGCTATTAATTTACCTTCAATTAAAAATAAAAAGAAGTTTCTTTAGAATTATCAAAAAACTTGACGGTCTATATATTCATATATCTGGGATTCAATGTATGAACATTCTAGATTTGTACCGACAGTGATAGACAATTCTAATCCATGTAGCTTAGATTAGAACTTCTAAAACAAATCTAAATTTTACGATATATATATAAATTGATCAACATATATCTTATATAAGAAAAAAATCGTCTACCTTATCCCTAATAGCAGTTGAATCAGAATAATTAATCGCAATTTTCGCATTATTTTTTAAAATATTCTGTAATAAATATCATTAAAAACATGTTTTTTAAGAATGAAAAATGATATGTATCAAAGGGTTGAGATTTTTTATAAACATGGCTAACTTGAAACAAGTTCTAAAATGTACATGTCTAAGGCTACAAAAATCACAGATGAGAGTTTATGAGCAGGGGCGTATTCAGGAATTTGTCCAGGGGGAGGCTTAAATTTTTTTCTTTCCAAGGGGGGGGGAGGGTTCAGCACCCGTTGGGGCATGAAAACCCCTGAAATCAATAGATTTCACTGGTCCAGTGGGGGGGGGGCTCAGTCCCAATAGCCCCCCCCCTAAATACGCCTCTGTTTATGAGGTAAAATCAAAGGCCAAGGGGTTGCGACAGTCTAAAAAATATACGTAGTTTTTTATCAATATCGACCAACTATTGTATGTGTTTTTTTCATTTTTTTCTACTTACACAAATACTCGAATATGGAAAGAAATAAACACAAGGAATTGCAAGTTCTTGCCACAAACTCTAATTTTCAATTCCTATATCTTAAAACCCCATGTAGTAGTCTAAGTTTAAAGTATTAAAGTTTCACACCATCAGGTTGCAAAGATATATGTATTAGAACATTTAAGTTTCTAGTAAAACCTGAGTTCTTTTAGTTATCAAATCCAAGTATATTGCAGCGGAGGGTTGAGCACGAAACAATTTGCGCAAAAAGATGGAATAATCTGTTTTTATTTAGAAGATAATCTTGGACTTGGAGTATAATTTGGAAAACACAATACGGTTTTATAAGTCAAATTCTTTTTTAAATTCCAGTTTATCAATTCTAATTAAAACTTGTAGAATATGAAATAATAGGTCAGCTTATAAACTAGCTTAACACAAATATTAAATCTCTAGGCAGGGCTGCAGAACTAGCCCCACTGCAAACCAAGGTTATATTGCAAGGAAAGTTATTTCACAGGTGTACGCATTTTTTTTGTCCAGCAGTGTACTGTCTTTGGGCGGAAAAGTAAACACAAGACGGATATCACAGCCTGACATGGAATCCATTTTCACAAAAATATTGTATGAAATATTCTGATTATAGGAAACTATTATGTGAATTATCAAAATGATCAAAATTAAATGCTTTTAACCTCCTCGGATACTAAACGAACACCAATGCATCTATTCTTGTTTACAAATTCCGCCCAGAGAGAACTGTTTTCAATATGTACGCAGAGTATACGCGACCGCAATTAACTTTCCTTGCCTTATAACCTTGCTGTAAACAATAGACAGAAGGTGAAGGTACGATTCAGGTGTAATGTATCATACGACTTTGTGACCTCGCAGCTTCTCTTGCTTTGATTTTACTCAAAAGTATTAGAAACTAATCTATATAATTAAGCTCTTCTCTCATATATGTTTATTTGTATGTCAGCTATAGGTGTCCAAACGGCTGTAACAAGGCAAAAAACAACTCAATTTTTTAATCGATTTTTTAAAAATTCGATTATAAAAATGTCACGAGCAACGCCGGACACTTCAGCTAGTTTATTAAAATTAAAAATGTTCGTGTATTTTACTTTAGTTTAGCGTGGGCCTGGGCAATCATTGCTTAGAAAATAACTAGTTCTAGAACTGTACTCTACTATATACTATATACTAGAACTGTACTGTACTATATGCTATATACTAGAACTGTACTGTACTATATACTATAAACTAGAACTGTACTGTACTATATTCTATATACTAGAACTGTACTGACCTATATACTATATACTAGAACTGTACTGTACTATATACTATATAATAGAACTGTACTGTACTATATACTATACTCTAGAACTGTACTGTACTATATACTATATACTATAACTGTACTGTACTATAAACTATATACTAGAACTATACTGTACTATATACTATATACTAGAACTGTACTGTACTGTATACTATATACTAGAACTGTACTGTACTATATACTATATACTAGAAATGTACTGTACTATATACTAGTATACTAGAACTGTACTGTACTATATACTATATACTAGAACTGTACTGTACTATATACTATATACTAGAACTGTACTGTACTATTGCTGTTTAATGTAAACTCCGTATTCTTTATCTCATCGCATATTTTAATATTTGGTGACGTGACAGGCTTTGACTTTAAATGATAATCTTTGAAACAACATTGAGATTTGTATTGTTTTTATCTACTAAAGAGCATGATGCTCGTTAAATTCTAACGCAAGCTTAAAGATGGCAATGCCCGATTCACTCTTGTAATCTTTAGATGTTCAATAATGTGGAAGATATTATCGTTTTTTAAAAAGTTTATAATTCTGATAATTCTTTATATGTTTTCCTGCAGTAGATCACGGGCAGCCGTGGTACATTTGAATTTCCGAGCCGGGTCAACCTTTCCGTTCCCTGGTTGTTCTGTACCTAGCTCTATGGACAGGACTAGCCCGTGCAACAAGGTTAGCATGGTCAGACTTTATGCCTCTTATAGGTTGAATTTACTTTTACTAAAGGGACAGAGGCGCGTGATATGTTCGTAATCAGTTTTCAAAATTATAATAAGAAAGATATCTAATTCATAATTGATCAGATTAAGCTTTTAACGGAATATCACGTTGTGAACCCGGCATTGTCATCTTTGCATGGAGGGTCACTAGTAATTACTCTAACAGTCCCTTTAAATAAGATTTAGAGAGACATTTTTAAAGATTTAAACAAAATTAAAACATAAAAACATTTAATATATTTTTACATTAATATTTACAACTGTTCGATATAAAAACGTTTTTTACAATTTTTCCTCAAATATGCATCACTTTTAACCAAACCTCAGAAAATTTCTTTTTTATGCAGTTTTAAAAATAACATCTATACGTACAGTAGGAGCTATAAAAATGTGGAACAAGAAAACGTTTATATCAAACTCAACTCATGAACAACTTATGAACATGAAACATGAACAATTCATGAACAACTCATGAACAACTTATGAACATGAAACATGAACAACTCATGAACAACTCATGAACATGAAACATGAACAACTCATGAACAACTCATGAACATGAAACACATGACCTATTTATACCAATTGGTAAAACAACATCAAATACACAAGAAATTGTCGTCTTCCTATTCCACAGTTTTATGGTTATCACTTTATGCCGATAAAAAATTGTTTTTGTCACAATATTGCACAAGAATAATTAAAAACTAAAAAAAAAATGAAAAACAAAATAAAGTCCGAAGGCAAAGAGGATAAACAAGATATTACGTAATAAAAAGGTTTAAAAATTCCAGTTTACCAAGGACAGTTTATTGTTTAAACTGCAGACAGCTACTGGTAAAGAATTGAACAGGATTCGCACATTTGTTATCTCTCTGCTAGATAACTCACTCGGAAAATTAGTTAAATTAAACAGATATGCATAACTAACGTTCTAATGATAAACACAAATATAACGTTGTTCGTAAGCTGTCCTTAGAGTATAAATTTCTTATAGGCTATTTTTTCCTGTTAAAATATGGTGCGCTTCTGCGCGGCGCACAGTATTCTAAAAGCACTCAGCAGCTTTAAAAAATCCAGCATTACATTGCGCTGGGCATATGCGCACCGCACGTCAAAAACCCCACATTACCACAATATTGATCAGGGGAGGTTTTTACTTTTAGAAAGAGCCACATAATCAATTTAAAAAAAAAAATTATATAGGGATGACTCTATGATTTTGGTTCAGAGAAATAGTGCTAAAATGTACATGTAAAGGGCTACAGAAAAGGATAACGAGTAAGAGCGGTAAAATAAAAGCCCTCGGCGTAGCGACACTTCAAAGTCAACCCTGTCCTTAAACTTAATGAGACTTTTCATAAGTAGGCTAAATCTATGTGAAATGGAGGATCATTTTAAGTAAATTCTACCAGGGGCGGATACAGAGGGGGGGGGGACATTCGCCCCCCCTGAATTTGGATTTTTTTGTTCCTATTTTTAGACTAGCTTCTCAATAGCATGCTTAAGGGAAAGAAACCCTAGTGCAAAACAGGAAAAATATCTGTCTTAATAAACTATAATGTGTGAAAAGTTAAAAATCTAGTTTTTTAGTCTTTAGTCATTAATTTTGACTATTTTTGAGTCTTTAAAGTCAAAAAAATTTTCACCTGCGCCGCGATTTTTTGTTCCTAATTATGAATTTGTTGTTCCTAAAAAATGTTGCCCCCCCCCCCACCCCCCTCACTTAATTCCTGTATCCGCCCCTGAATTCTACAGTTCCTTTTAAGTGTCTATTCTACTGGTTGGAGAAAAAAAACCAATCCAATCTCCGCACAAGAAGGACGTTCATTTCAAGCGTGTTGTTTAATTTCTGGAGGACGACTTTGCATTCTCGTAAACCCTTGGGATTTCATTCCAATATGAAACCTTGGATGTGCATAAGGTTTTTTGTTTGGAAGTTGTGTTTGCAATAATGATAACTAAAATGTTATGAACTTTAGTTTAAATGTCAAGATTAAATTATTATTCATGTCTTTTTAAATAATTAAATCCAATATCCACATTTCTAAATTATACGTCTTGATAGAGCTGGATAGTGGATACCCCCCCCCCCTTATTTCCCTATAGTTAATTGTATCCTTAATTGTCAGGTATGATTAATAATACCTCTAGGGCTTGGAAATTAAAAGGTCTTTAAAGCGATTGTTTAAAGCATGAAATTATATATAGTGAATAATATTGATCACTCTATAGATAGATAGATAAATAGATAGAGAGATAGATAGATAGATAGATAGATAGATAGATAGATAGATAGATAGATAGATAGATAGATAGATAGATAAATAGAAAGATAGATAAATAGATAGATAGATAGATATATAGATAGATAGATAGATAGAAATATAGATAGATAGATAGATAAATAGAAAGATATATAGATAGATAGATATATAGATAGAAAGATAGATAGAAATATAGATAGATAGATAGATAGATAGATAGATATTTGAAATAAGTACACCAGATGTCCAGGTGTACCCTGAGTAAGGTCATCAATACATACTGGATCAGGTTTTCATTTTCTAAACACTGTAAATACTTACATACAATATTGATAGATATTAATATCGTGAATGCATATTATTGGAATATAAACTTGTCGTTTGAACGGAAAAGAAGTAAACAGAACTCAGTGTTTTTAACCTTTTTATTTAATATTTGATATTTTTGATTATTCATAAAAGTCGTAGGCTGTCGTGCACTTTGGACACAAATGTTCCGAGTGACGCATCAACGCCGCAGAACAGTTTGACATTTGTGACGCATAAACGCCGCAGAACAGTTTGACTTTTGTGACGCAGATATATATATATATATATATACACCGTCAAACCCATATAGTGCCATCATGCTCATTGGTTTGGCATTGATTAAGTGCTTGTGTCCGTGTAGACATTGATAGTTGATCGGGCTGATTGGTTTGGCATTGATTGATTAAGAGCTCGTGTCCTGGTTAACATTGATTTCTAAGCTAGTTTCCGTGCTGACATCGATAGCTGACAAGATTGTGTCTGGGTTTAGCCATTGATAGCTAAGTAAAACTGTGTACGACCAGTCTATGGCGTCCTACTCCGTGTATAGCCAGTCTAAGGCACCCCAGCTCCTTGTATGACCAGTCTATGGCGTTCAACTCCTTGTATGTCCAGTCTAAGGCGAACAACTCCTTGTATGACCAGTCTATGGCGTCCAACTCCGTATATGACTAATCTATGGCGTCCTACTCCATGTATGACCAGTCTATGGCGCTCTACTCCGTGTATTACCAAGCTATGGCGTTCTACTTCGTGTCTGGCCCGTTTATGGTGTCCTACTTCGTGTATGACCAGCCTTTGGCGTCCTACTCCGTGTATTTTCAGTCTATCGCGAAGCGCGAAAATTTTTTTGGCCCCCCCCTAAACATTTTTAGGGGGGGGCAAGAAAAATGTGTGTTATACTTAAACAATAAAAACTAACCTTACCAACCGGATATTCAGTTATAAGTCAACACATCTAATATAAAATGAAACAAGAAATCTAGTGGGGGGGGCCTGGCCCCCCCCTAGTTGCGCGCCTGTCTATCGCGTCCTACTCCGTGTATGACCAGTCTATGGCGTCCTACTCCGTGTATGACCAGTCTATGGCGTCCTACTCCATGTATGACCAGTCTATGGCGTCTTAATCTGTGTGGGTGGATTGGTTCGAATTTTGTCTCAGTTAAGATGAGAACCCTGAGATCGGTGATCTGTATACTAGGTCTTGGAATACTAGGAATCTAAAACTAATCTGTTAAATCTCAACTAGTCAAGGCTAACAACACCTTGTACACATGTATAACTACTAAATAAATACATGTACGTACAATGTATGCACATTTCTTTATAATTTCTGCAAAATATTGATCACATGTGTAAATTATACAAGTAAATCCTAGAAAATATTAGATTAAAATGCCATGATTTTTTTAACACCACTTTATAGCTATGAACAATTTCAAATTTTTCCTTGTCTCTAATATGTTGTTACGACTTTACCGCCTTCTTCAACAATAAGCTTCCCCAAAAATAACCTTACCTTTACTGCAGGGTTACCCTCAAAGGATTAAACTTCAAAGACGACTGTACGAAATTTATAATGTCTGTTTCTTTATATTCACGATTCCTCGCAACTGAACATTTTTTTGGAAAGTTTTTGAACAAGGCATTAGATTACAAAATGTGGCATAACTCATGCACTTTTCCAGGAAATTGGAATTTTGTTTTAAATAGTTTTGTTCACGATCCATCACACCCTTTCAACGTACCTTGGTCAGCGCTAAACTGATAAAGATATCTTTTCGATCCCAGTTTCTATTTAATTTGTCAAGGTGACTTTAAGAGTTATGCTTTAAAGACAAGGAAGAAAATTAACAGAAATTTACTTGAAATTCTTCTTAAAATTGAGGACCACTTGAAATTCTTCTTGAAATGGAGGATCACTTGAAATTCTTCTTGAAATGGAGGATGACTTGAAATTCTTCTTGAAATGGAGAATCACTTGAAATTCTTCTTGAAATAGAGGATCACTTGAAATTCTTCTTGAAATGGAGGATCACTTGAAATTCATCTTGAAATGGAGGATGACTTGAAATTCTTCTTGAAATGGAGAATCACTTGAAATTCTTCTTGAAATAGCCGATCACTTGAAATTCTTCTTGAAATGGAGGATCACTTGAAATTCTTCTTGAAATAGAGGATCACTTGAAATTCTTCTTGAAATGGAGGATCACTTGAAATTTTTCTTGAGATGGAGGATCACTTGAAATTCTTCTTGAATCAGAGGTTCACTTGAAATTCTTCTTGAAATGGAGGATCACTTGAAATTCTTCTTGAAATGGAGGATGACTTGAAATTCTTCTTGAAATGGAGAATCACTTGAAATTCTTCTTGAAATAGAGGATCACTTGAAATTCTTCTTGAAATGGAGGATCACTTGAAATTCTTATTGAAATAGAGGATCACTTGAAATTGTTCTGGAAATTGAGGATCACTTGAAATTCTTTTTGAAATGGAGGATCACTTGAAATTCTTCTTGAATCGGAGGTTCACTTGAAATTCTTCTTGAAATGGAGGTTCACTTGAAATTCTTCTTGAAATGGAGGATCACTTGAAATTATTCTTGAAACGGAGGATCACTTGAAATTCTTATTGAAATGAAGGATCACTTGAAATTCTTCTTGAAATGGAGGGTCACTTGAAATTGTTGCCAACTACTGGTACAGTAGAAATATCATCGAAAATTTCAAATCCTTTTTGCATAAAATAATAGCAAATAGTTTCCACATTTATAAACAGTAATTTACAATTACAGAAGGAAAGGTTGATTTGGGTATCAAAAGATGCGCCTTGAGCTGCTGAATACAATCCATTTTTCCGTTTTTAAATATTTAAAAAAAATTTTGAAAAATTGTTTGGCTAAAAAACTAGTATTTTTGATACTCATGCAAAAATTCTTCCAAATACATAATGATTTAAAACTTTTGAATAAAAAAAATCTCAAATCTTTTTTGATAATTGTATCAAAGAAAACCTTGAAGTAATGCAAGGTGGATTTGAGCATTTGTATCAAAAAAATAGTTTCACCTTTACTTTTAGTAGGTAGTACATTATTAATGATGTTCTGCTCATAATTGATTTAATGTGTGTAAGAGATTTATCTAAAAACATAAACAAGTATAGAAGGAAAAAAGTGATTAAAAGAAAGAGATCAAAGTAAAAATGATAAATTAATGTTATATAATGTTAATTTAGTTCATAAAAAGCTATTATTTAAAAAAATTTGAGATTTAGAATAGAATTTATAAAGGTGTGTCCAAATAGAATATCAAGTATAATAGGTGGCAACATAGAAATGAACCAATTATTAATGACTATTAAATAAAAAGTATAAAAAAAAGAAAATAAAGAACACAAAAGTGCACTTACTTCGCTGAGAGATGAGCACTTTATTATCACTATTATTAATAATTTTGTCGGACACATAAAACTGTTGACACTTGTGACGTCAGAAGACAGCTGTACTGGGAGTGTACAAATTCTACGTTGCCATCTATTGTACTAGAATCTATTTGGGAGTGTCTATTTGTTCTTTCAGTCTATTTAAAGGGACTGTAAGCGTAATTTCAAGTCACCCTCCATGCAAATACGACAATGCCTGATCTACAACGGTACCCTTAAAAACTTTTTGCCTGTTGTCATACATATGGTGTGTTTTTGTTTATTTATACTTTTCATTTTTATTTGTGAGGGTTTTCTGCAAAAGGGACTTAAGCATTTCATGCTCTTATAAGAAACAATGGAGAAATCCACAGATATAATCCGAGCCGAGTCATAAAAAAGACATTGTCTTGCACATTTTTGATCCGACTTAGGTTTCAAGGGTACCGTTGTAAATCGGGCATTGCTCTCTTTGCTTGGAAGGGCACTAAGAATTACGCTTACATTGAACAAAATTGAAAAAAAATATTTACAGAGGCTGAATTTAAATAATTTGAGCCGCGGCTCAAATATGGTTGGTTCCACTTGAAATTGTATTAAATGTTTCAAGATCTAAGCCGACGATGGGCGGATTTTTGGTAATGTCAATTTGGTAATGACAATTTGGTAATTACAATTTGGTAATGACAATTTGGTAAGGTGACAATTTGGTAACGACAATTTGGTAATGACAATTTTGTAAGCTCACAAAAGTGACAATTTGGTAATGACAAATTGGTAACAACAAAAAAGTGACAATTTGGCAATGACAATTTGGTAAGCTCACAAAAGTGACAATTTGGTAACAACAAAAAAGTGACAATTTGGTAATGACAATTTGGTAAGCTCACAAAAGTGACAATTTGGTAATGACAATTTGGTAACAACAAAAAAGTGACAATTTGGTAACAACAAAAAAGTGACAATTTGGTAATGACAATTTGGTAAGCTCACAAAAGTGACAATTTGGTAATGACAATTTGGTAACGTCATAAAAGTGACAATTTGGTAAACGAAATAAAAGTGACATTATGTAAAATTGTTTAATTTTTAGTTATATTTTCAATTAAAGATAATTGATTCTAGAAATCTTTTATTTCTGCACAAAAGAAATGCGCCAAAAATAATTGTAAAATTCGCACTATTTTCTAAAAACCACGTTTCAATCTCAGTCGTGTCATATACTGCAAGAAGAGGAGACTTGGATCATGAATTACTTATTCATTACCTCTTTTAGGGGTGGGAAAATATTACAAGATTCAGAAGGATTTAAATACTACAACAAGAACGAACTTTATGTGTGCGTTGATTATAAGAAATCTAAATCAAGTTGTCCTAAAACTTTAACCTACAATGAGAATACACAAGTTGTCCAAGTCTTTGGCAATCCCAACCATGACAGCACAAGACACGCCTCTATGGATGTTGTCAAGGCAATGCTGTCCAATGCTGCAGCCAACCCTGATATCCCAACTAGGAAGATTATGATCAGCTCGGCCCCCTAGCCCATCCTAGCCGCAGCGCTCGGCCCAGAAATTGTTTTAACCTAACCTAACCCAAACTAATGAGAGAAACAGCACATTATTAAACTTTTAAATTGTCATTACCAAATTGTCACTTTTGTGAGCTCACCAAATTGTCACTTTTTTGTTGTTACCAAATTGTCATTACCAAATTGTCACTTTTTTGTTGTTACCAAATTGTCATTACCAAATTGTCACTTTTGTGAGCTTACCAAATTGTCATTACCAAATTGTCGTTACCAAATTGTCACCTTACCAAATTGTCATTACCAAATTGTCATTACCAAATTGTCATTAACAAATTGACAGTACCAAAAATCCGCCCGTCAAGCCGACACTCAATTAAAACCGGTTTTTGGCGGATTTAAGATGCGGCTCAAATTCATTTAATTCGGTCACAGGAGTGTCTATTGTTGTACTTCGGATTGTTCTTGATAAGAGTGAACAGTCCCTTGAATACAACTGGATACCATGAATCAGTACAACACGAGCCGTAGCAGTAGACACAAGTCTCCTGCACACTACCGCTCTGGGTCCTGTGCTACATACAGCGAACAGACAGCATACAGAGGGAACCTTTCTGGACGAGCTACAGCAGGAGAAGATGAACCGGGTTCCTGTTATTGTGCGGAACCCCGCATACATTGAGGAAGTAGAACTGGATGAAGAGGAAGTTGATCCAGCTGATATCACTCCTCTCATCAGTGGAGACACTCCCATTATCACTGTCCCAGCCTCGGAGGACGAGAACGTAGCTGAGGATTGAAGTAGAGGATGGTGATGAGGATGAGGATATGCAAGATATCCTAGAGAAGATGGAGAAGCTTGATACAGAGGTCAAGGAACTCCGAAAGGAGATTATGGATCTCCTGTCCTCTATTCCTGAGGACACTAGATCCTTCCAGCATACTGTTGTCCCCCAAGTTGAGGTTTGGGACACAGGGAAGGCTTGGGAGCAAGAGTACAGGCTGTATCCTGACCCTACTAGGAAAGTGACAGGCTGTCTAACCAGATTTGGGATCTGCTCCAGATTATGCAGGAGCGGGTTGACCAGCAGACCTGTAATAGTAAAGATATAAAGTTGATAGACGGACTGAAAGCTATATCAGTCATGCACGATAGACTCGGTAAACTAACTGAGAGAGTGCTTAAACGTCAAGCTAAGAAACCTTATAAGTAAAAGGGATCAAGGCTAACAATCATGTCATCAGTTATCTTTATTTAATGTTATGTATGCATTTATGATTATGTAAATAAATGTATTAACATTGTAGAAAATAAGTTTATTACTTTGGGTGTTAACTATTGCACGAGCAAATAATTGTATAAAGGTTTACTCTGCATGATAGAGATAGCCCGAAGTATAATATTGCCAGGTTGCAAAGATAACAGCAACACATGAGGGTTAGGTCCAAGTATTGGAAATAACCCGATCTGCAATGTTGTCAGGTTGCAAAGATAATAGGTCTAATACAAGTAGAATAACTTGAAGTGTGATCTTATCAAAGTTTGCTAATTAAGTTTGCCAATTCATTGCACATTTTTAGTAGTAAGAGAAAACTACACTATCCCCTCTAAATCATATTTAAGCTAATATCTATATTTTCCTAGATGTTTAAATACTTTTACCTTGATAAATCTACTAAAACATTATTTATTTTTATTTTGTATTTATTTTGTGCAAAATGATGTTTGTGTTTTATTAGGAAAACTGCAACAACATTATTTTGAAAAAAAATACGTTAGACTGAAGGGAACTAAGTTATATTTACCACAAACTCAAATTTTCTCATCCTTATATCTTTAAAACCTGATGGTGTAAACCTTAGATATTATAAACTTAGATCATTTGCTGCAGTAAAAGTAGTTTAAAATATCTAAGGTCTAGAACATTGCGCTACAAAGATAGGGTTCAATTTGATTTCGGTTAAACATATAGAAGTAGATATAAAATGTTTAGCCAGTTTAGGCAGATTTTGTTTAAGAAGGCATTAAGTCTTCGCCACAAACTAGACGAACTCCAAACATGATTGCGACACTGATATATATAATTCATATGTATTAGTAAGTTTGTTTGTATCCAATAATTGGAAAAACGTCTGAACAGATTGGACCCCATCCTTGATCTTACATTAATTAATTGCCTACAAATTTTGATGAATTTTTCTTTTTGAAAACTGCAAATCTAAATTTAAAATTCAGATAATATTTTTAAAATATATGGTTATAACCAGTTGGGTTCAATAAGAAGCCAAAGAATGTCGTCTTTTCTATGATTAAAAAAATTTTAGGACTTTTTTAGCATTTTTTTACCAAAAACTTTCGTTTTTTACGTAATCGGCCGTTAGAAATACATAGCTTTATTATCATTTAAGATAAACTTTATCTTAAAACAGATTGCAATGTAAATGGTTAAAAAATTTGGCTCCTTAAACCCAAGGTTTTTTGGGCTTGCTCACGTTACTGGCCGAAAATTCTGCTTCAGACTATTACAAAAGTATACATAAAAACATCTAACAAATTTTGTTTTAAAATATGTAGTATTTTTCATAAAAATGAGATTCGTAACAAAATCACAATTTTAGCCTTATTTTAGCAGTAGAGCATCCTATCCTATAACTGATTAAAACAAATTTAGAAGTTTATAACCGTGTCGTTATTAACTTATTTTCACACCATTTTAAGCACCTACAATGATTAAATTATTTGATAACTAGAGTTCTAATGTTGATTGTTTGAATTTAAAACCAATACTGCAGCCAATGACGTCATATAAAAGGTTACAGAGCGTACTCACTATTCGGATACATTCCTAATGCCCTATCTTCTACTATTCTAGAGTCTTTGATTATACGGAGACATACGGTATAAAATAGAACAATATTAAAAACTAAACTGGTAGCCATTCTACACAACCCTAGCAATGATAAAGAAGAAAAAAAAGATTAGTTCTAGATACTTCAGGTCTTAGTGGAGTCTTAGGACAGGATTATGGACCTGTTAGTTTAGATGCAATAGATCCTCTCACATTATCATGGAACCAGGTATATGGAGAGGGGGGNTTAGATAAGAATGTTTTTTCTTCAAATCTTTGAAAATGGAGATCTTTTCAGACCTCTCCGCTATTGAAATTTTACTTTTTCATTCTGACATTTAACAGGATGTAATACTAAACTGTTTTTTTTTTAAATTTTGATATACTTCTCAATTAAATCTTACATTTGAATCGTGATAGTTAATTTAAAGTTTTTAAACATTTTTATTTCAAGATTCATTGGCTAGTGCGTGATCAGATAAAGGAAGTTGAAGAGATAAAACAAGAACATGATGAGATATATAATCAGATTACAGGTGAGAGATCAGATATAAGAAGTTGAAGAGATAAAAGAAGAACATGATGAGATACATAATCAGAATACAGGTGAGAGATCAGATATAAGAAGTGGAAGAGATAAAACATGATGAGATAAATAATCAAATTACGGGTGAGAGATCAGATATAAGAAGTTGAAGTGATAAAACAAGAACATGATGAGATATATAATCAGATTACAGGTGAGAGATCAGATATAAGAAGTTGAAGAGATAAAACATGATGAGATATAAAATCAGATTACAGGTGAGAGATCAGATATAAGAAGTCAAAGAGATAAAACATGATGAGATATATAATCAGATTACAGGTGAGAGATCAGATATAAGAAGTTAAAGAGATAAAACATGATGAGATATATAATCAGATTACAGGTGAGAGATCAGATGTAAGAAGTTGAAGAGATAAAACATGATGAGATATAAAATCCTTATTAAAGCAATACTTAAAAGTATTTTATGTTGTTATCAGCGCAAATAGTTTTAATAATAACTTATTAAATCACTTTATGCTAAGTGGGTCTGTTTCAACAGCACAATTGCTGTGGTTTATGTTATAACTTGAGTCCAAAAGCCCTATTAATAGTATTCTGCATCAACGATAACAAATAGAACACTAGATGTCGTCTTTTCAGGACTAGAGGTATTTCGTTCACAAGAAACTTGAGGCAAAAGCTCAAAGAAGTTACGCGTATGCTCTCTCTCTGTTTTGTCATTAAACGCAGCATGCGTATAACTCCTTTGGGCTTCTACCCCTAAATCTTGATAAGGCGACATCTAGCGTTCTATCTGTTATTGTAAATTAATCTATGGCTTTCTTACTCTCACAATATACTTTTAGGATGTTTCGGCCTGGAGAAATGTTTAAGAGAATTTGATCTTCTTGATATAGAACCTGGGAGCAAACTTTATGAATTAGGACTCAGGTTAGATATAAATGTTTAGGTATATGGATAAATGTTTAGGTAAATGAATAAATGTTCAGGTATATGGATAAATGTTTAGGTATATGGATAAATGTTTAGGTATATGGATAAATGTTTAGGTATATGGATAAGATAAATGTTCAGGTATATGGATAAATGTTTAGGTATATGGATAAATGTTTATGTATATGGATAAATGTTTAGGTATATGGATAAATGTTTAGGTATATAGATAAATGTTCATGTATATGGATAATTGTTTAGGTATATGGATAAATGTTCAGTTATATGGATAAATGTTAAGGTATATTGATAAAATGTTTAGGTATATGGATAAATGTTTAGGTATATGGATAAATGTCTAGGTATATGGATAAATGTTTAGGTATATGGATGTAAAGAACGATCTTGTTGTACGAAAGAATGCTGTTGATAATGCGCAGGGAAGACTACAAGAGCAGATAAGGTAGAAACTGCAGAAGAAAAGATGAAACATCAGAAAGTCGTCTTTTATTAGTACAATTTAATGCGAACGCTCTATGGACCGCCGTACAAATAATTCAATATTTAAACACTAATTGAAAAATATTGATCCTCGACCTCAGAGCAGACCGGTATTCAAAAAGATTTAGGTAGCCTTTAAATCCTCTTTCTTAAGGTCTAATCTTGTTTGTATTGAGTCTTAGCTTTGTCGCCATCTCTTATTTCCTGATTCCTATCTTTGCAACAGGATGTCTGTCTATACGATATTTCATTTTCAACTTGGGACTTATATATATCAGCTTAAAATACAAAATGTTTACACCATCATGTAGCAAAGATATATGGATTCGAAAATTGGATTTTGTGAAAAAAAGGCTCCATATTTTTGTGTTCAGAGAACGAGAGCGTCAAAGAGAGATTTTAGAAGAACAACGAAGACAGGTGTTTTTCATAAAGATTTGGACTCCATGTCTTTTTAAATATGACCGCTATTTCAAAACCAGTTTTCATACAGATTTGAACTCCATGCCATTTTTAAAATATGTCCGTTATTTCAAAACCGGTTTTCATACAGATTTGGATCCATGCCATTCTTTAAATGTGGCCGCTAAATGAAAACCGGTTTTGATAGTTGAGGATGACATTTTTTATTTCAATGCTTTCGCTGACGCCAGGAGAAGAATTTTTAAAAGTTTTAAAATTTAATATCTCATTATTTTCTTTCTGTGTTTTTAATTAATTTCTTTTCTTCACAAAACTCCTTTTATACCTTTGAAAGAGGAGAAATTCTTGAAACTATTTCTGTTCAACCTTAATTAAGCCGAATTAAACCTTAAAATGATGATTTTATATTGAATTATTTTCACAATCGTTTATTATAAGAATTAGCTTAATCCGTAAATTGAAGTAAAAATTAAGACATGTCCGATTGAAGACAGTATACCCGGGCGTGTCTAGAGGACATCGATAGATCGGCTAGTTCTAGATTGCCATGCCATGATGATGATTATTTATATTCATGATATAAAGCTTTTCATAGTTTAGTTTGATATAAGTTTTCTTAAACTTTTATCGTACAGTTCAAATATTGGCATTTACTAAATGGCAATGAATTTAGCCAAATAAGATTAAATTCTGTTGACATTTTAATATTTTCTTTAAATATATCTAAAGAATTTCAAATATTAGATGCATCACTTTGACATATGAGAGAGATCGTCCTTGATATTTGAAAAATTTGCGGCACTCAACCGCGAACTTAATAACCCAAACCCCTGATAACCTGATAAACCATTTTTAATGTCTGCGTACAAGTTCCGATTCAATTTCAGGCTTGTAGATCTGAAAATAACAATTGTACTGGAATAAACTATAACGTAAATAATTTTGAATCTACAAGTCTAAAATGTGCCTCAATGAATCAGTAAGTGTACGTAGAGATTTAAAAATGGTCTCAATCTTGAAAATATGATTACAAGCAAGTTGTTCAAACGGAACGGAGATTCTTATTTTTACAAAATTACTCACTCCAAACGTAAACTTCAGAAGCCTTTAATAGTAGATTCATAAAATGGTCCCAATCTTGAAAATGCAATTACAAACGAGTCTGTTGACCCTTATTCCTCTGTTTTTTAGACACCCTTTATATTTTTTTTTCATAACGTGAGAGAGCCCGGAGAGGGGGATTGAATGGTGAAATTTTTCTTATGACTTAGACATTTTTTGCAAGGAGGAGCAGCGAATGGCAAAAGAAAGATGGAGAGGGGAGGAAGAGAGAAGAAGAGTAGAGGAGAGGAGAAGAGTAGAAATAGAAAGACAAAGAATGGAAGAGGAGAGACGGAGACAAAGTTCTTTGTCGTCATTTAGTTCGTCCTCGTCCTCTTATTCGTCCCGAGGATCGTCCTCCAGAACGTCCTCCTCCAGAGGTTCTTCTACTAGACCATTAGGTAAACAGGCATGCCGCGTTGACTTACAAGACAGAGAGAGAGCCTGTTCTTGCCACGGCGTTCGGCCCTCTAGCCTGTCCTAGCCGCAGCGCTCGGCCCAGAAAGTGTCTTAACCTATCCTAATCCTAAAATATATACTAATCTCTCTCTTTCTTTTAACTCAACGCGGCAAGCGAGTGTAACTCCTTTAGGCAACTGCTAGGTAAAGAGGCAGTTGCCATTCCTTGTTGCGCGCAATGCTCCGTGAAATTCCAAAACAGAGAGAGGGGGATTGAATTTTGTAGATCCAGAAAAATAATATCTGTGGGATGCCTCCGTAGAGACTGGTAGCTGGTGGGGTCTTAAATGTAAGACATGTAGCCGCAGCGCTCGGCCCCCTAGCCTGTTCTAGCCGCAGCACTCGGCCCAGAAAGTGGCATAACTTGACCTAACCCGTGGCCGCAGCGCTCGGCCCAGAAAGTGTCTTAACCTAATCTAACCCTAAATAAATACTAATTTAATTAATTTTCTGGATCTACAAAATTCAATCCCCCTCTCTCAGTTTTGGAATTTCACGGAGCATTGCACGCAACAGAGAATGGCAACTGCCAGGTAAAGAAGGGACTGTTTGCATGATTTCAAGTAGCCCTCTTTGCAATATTAGATGACAATGCAAAACTCACAAGTCACAACATTACTCTTAAAAGCTTTGTCTAATCAAGTATGAATTAGATATCAATGTTTATAATTTTGAAAACTGTTTTTTGGCGTTTTGTGAAAGTGACTTGCTTATTTCTACTGCAGGTGGAGGCCCTGCAGGATAGTATATAGAGAAACTATTTTTAACCCTAGAAGAATAACAATAACTTATTATCAGATAAAGGTTTCAAGGGTACCGTTGTAAACAGGGCTTTGTATGCCATCTCTACATGAAGGGTTACTTGAAATTACGCTGACATGTCCCTTTAAAAGTACAAATTTAACAGGATTTTTTACATGACAACATAATTTGGAGGATGTGCTAACTTATCAAATTGATTTTTTAATTTAAAAAAATTTCTTTTATCCTTAACTTAGTTTTCTGGTGCGCATTAGATTAATTTTCTATTCACAAGGTTTCCCTATTCAGCTCTTCTCTTGAAACCTACTCTTTCTTTGATGTAAAAATGTCTGTACGGGGAGAGGCGACAGATTAAAAGCAAAATGCAAGAATTCAAAATTAAGGGGACTGTTCACTAAATTTCAAGTGACCCTAAATTTAAAGCAAGTACGTGGCCGATTTACAAGGGTACCTTATTAAACCCTTGGCTTACAACGATTATGCACGCATTGAGATTGTCGGGTTTTTCTACTTTGAAATTAATTATTTTTAAATGAGGATTCTCCTAAAATATTTTTTAAAGCAAAAAATAGAAAGGAAATTGGCAGAATTTATCTATTTCCAAAATTATCTTCCTTGTCGTTACTCAGATAAAGGTTTGAAAGGTCTCTATTTGTTGATTTAACTCTTCAAACTGAGGGGCCCTGCGTCAACAACGTAAACAATCCCTTTATAGGATTAATATTTTATTCAGACGAATTCCCAGACGATACAAGTTCTTGGACTTCTTTCTTCTCAAACTCAACCTCTTTCGGTCCTAAACCTCAGGTTTATGAAACCAGGTATTATTATGAACTATGTTAACCTCAGGTTTATAAAACCAGGTATTATTATGAACTATGTTAACCTCAGGTTTATAAAACCAGGTATTATTATGTACTAGGTTTATGAAACCAGTGGCCGAATTTAAAGAATTTGAGCGGCGGTTTAAATTTGAGCCGCGGTTTAAATATGGTTGGTTCCACTTAAAATTGTATCAAATGTTTCAATATTTAAGCCGGCTCCTAATTTAAACCGGGTTTTGGAGGATTTAAACCGCGGCTCAAATTCTTTAAATTCCATCTCAGAGCTGGGAACTTTAGAATGGTGGATATCGGGATTGATCCACTCTTTTTCTTAATCTCAAGATTGAATATTGCTTGTTTTCCTCATGAATTTAATCTCCAGATTAATTAACAGATCGGGATTAAGGATATCACATTCTAAAGTATTCAGCTCTGGTATTATTATGTTCTAGTAAACCTCAGGTTTATGAAATCAGGTATTATTGTTTACTTGAAAACCTCAGGTTTATGAAACCAGGTATTATTGTTTACTTGTAAACCTCAGGTTTATGAAACCAGGTATTATTGTTTACTTGTAAACCTCAGGTTTATGAAACCAGTTATTATCATGTACTTGTAAACTTCAGGTTCATGAGACCAGGTATAATTTTGCACTAGTAAACCTCAGGTTTGTAATTAATAATGCAGGTATTATTCTGTAATTGTAAACCTCAGGTTTATGAAACCAGGTATTATTATGTACTAGTTAACCTCAGGTTTATAAAACCAGGTATTATGATGTAGTTGTAAACCTCAGGTTTAAGAAACAAGGTATTATTATGAACTTCTAATTCTCAGGTTTATGAAACCAGGTATTATTATGCACTATTAAACCTCAGGTTTATAAAACCAGGTATTTTTATGTACTAGTAAACCTCAGGTTTATAAAACCAGGTATTTTTATATACTAGTAAACCTCAGGTTTATAAAACTAGGTATTTTTATGTACTAGTAAACCTCAGGTTTATAAAACCAGGTATTTTTATGTACTAGTAAACCTCAGGTTTATAAAACCAGGTATTTTTATGTACTAGTAAACCTCAGGCTTATAAAACCAGGTATTGTTATGTACTAGTAAACCTCAGGCTTATAAAACCAGGTATTTTTATGAACTAAAAACCTCAGGTTTATGAAACAAGATATTATTATGAACCTCAGGTTTATAAAACCAGGTATTATTATGAACTTGAACACCTGGTTTATGAAACCAGGTATTATTGTTAACTTGTAAACCTCAAGGTTAAATTATTTTTGTTCTTAACCGATGATTTAGATTTGTCAAATCCCTATATCTTTGCAACCAATATCATAGTTATTTGATATGTCAAACTATGAATTCTGCTAGGTCAATGGCCGAATTTAAAGAATTTGAGCGGCGGTTTAAATTTAAGCCGCGGTTTAAATATGGTTGGTTCCACTAAAAAGTGTATCAAATGTTTCAAGATTCAAGCCGGCGCTTAATTTTATCCGGGTTTTGGCGGATTTAAACCTCGGCTTAAATTCTTTAAATTCCATCTCAGATAATCTAAATTTGAAATATCAAAGGTTTACGCCTTCAGGTTGCAAAGAAATAAGGATTAGAAAATCTGAGTTTGCTGCAAAGGCTCGATTTCTTTAAACCTCTATTGTTAAAGTTTTCAACTCCTTTGAATGGATTGCCAGAAAATTATATGTTATTTTCAGTTACAAGTACAGCTCCAGGAACAGGGAGTATAATACACCTCTCAAACCAAACTAATCTTCGGCTACAAAGTAATGGTGTAATACACAAGAGAAAAGTAGTTCAACAGGATCGGCCTGGTTCAACTACCTTTCTTTGGCCAACGAGATTAAATAAAGAAGTGGTTCAACTAAGCGTACACAGTTCAACTACTTCATTCTATTCATTAATCTAATTAATGAACTAATTGATGATTTATTATACAGTTGATTTTTAACAATTAAAGATACTATAATGTACTGTAGTATATATACCAATAAATAAATTATCTTAAACTTTTCATCAAATTTCGATCATATTTCTCGATAATTCTTGTTACGCTCGATTTTTTTCCTCACGTTTTGGTATTTGGTCGGCGGTCGGAAATAATTTAATTTTTTTCTTGAAGAATGCCAGTTTGGTTTGGATATATATTTCTAAACGCAATTATATAACAGGATGTGACGTCATAGCAGAGCTCGGATGCCGGTAAATATTCCGAAATTGACTGTAGATTCATTTACAATAGTTCTCATGAACGCATTGTCTCACCAAGAATGCCTAAGATATCCATGTTTTTCTTTTTGAAAATAGATTATTTTCAATTGAGATTTAGGTTATGTATGAATTGTATTTACACACGACTTGTTAATTTATATGCTACAACAACAATTGAGGAAATTGTTGGAATTGAACACTGTTATAAGTAAGCAAAACAACGATATCATCATTATGATATATCAACTATATACGAATGGGTCGAAAAATGAACAATGGTTATAGATTGTAATATCTGAATGATATGATTTGTTTGGAATTAAATTTATTTTATACAATCTGAGTCGAATATTGCAACTTTCTGAATTTGTCTGGACGCTAAGTTCTTCCGTATAAGTGGTTTCTAACAATTTTCTCCTTATAGACGCAACAGATAGAAGTAAGATTAGTAGCTATCACTATCGATAATTTATCCACATAAGCCTATACCCCCTTTCATTTTTCGCGAACACTCCCTTTAATGGTCAGACAAAGGTTTAATAAAGGGTACCGTTGGCCCTCCTTGCAGCAGGGTCATGTGAAACCATATCAGTCTCTTTAAAGAGACAATAAACAATAACAAAGATTAACCTATTTATTTTTAACCTAAGGAAAAGAAATGAGGTATTTAAGTTAAAAATTTTTTCTAAATATAAATTTCTAATATAAGTTCCGTTGGGCCGAAAAAGAAATGATAATTTGTTTAACAAATTTACAGTACAATAGGAGATAATGAGTGTTTTATGCTATAAAGAAAACTGAAACTAGAGTTTTTAACCCTTTGAATAATCAGATTTCATTTGAAAGAAAATTAAATGACATTTTACATTTTTTCAGGAAAAGTTCAAACTTAGAAGTAAGAGAGACAACGAAATTTCAAAATTTATAGATTATCAAAATATTTTGTCAAAGCAACAGAATGAAGTACATTTGTTTCTTTTATTCAAACTTTTAAATTCTGTCAAAATCGAAGATTGAAAATATAAAACATAAAAAAGAATATTCTATTCAAATATTCAATGTTTAGATTTTCTAGCTAGATGGAATATATTTTTGAAATATTTGTCGTTCAAAATATTGCACAAGGTTACAGTTGGTAACCTGATGTAGTAACCTTTGATATTTCAACTTTTATTATTCCATTAGCATCATTCATACTTGAACAATACCAAAAGTTCTAGGAAATCAGGTTTCAAAGAAATATAAAGATGACAAAAATAGGGATTTAGGCAATCGTTTAAATTTTTCACTGTTGATATTTACTGGAACACCCTGTACATGCTTACTGGGACACTCTGTACATGTTTACTGGGACACCCTGTACATGTTTACTGGGACACCCTGTACATGTTTACCGGGACACCCTGTACATGTTTACTGGGACACCCTGTACATATACTTACTGGAATATCCTGTGCATGTTTTTTGGGACACCCTGTACATGTTTACTGGGACACCCTGTACATGCTTACCGGGACACACATGCTTACTGGGACACCCTGTAGATGTTTACTGGGACACCCTGTACTTGCTAACCGGGACACCCTGTACATGTTTACTGGGACACCCTGTACTTGCTAACCGGGAGACCCTGTACATGTTTACTGCGACACCCTGTTTATATTTACTGGGACACCATGTACATGTTTACTGGGACACCCTGGACATATTTATAAGGACACCCTGTACATTCTTACTGGGATACCCTGAACATGTTTTTGGGACAACCTGTACATGTTTACTTGGACACCCTGTGGTGCATACTTTCCGGGCACCCTATACATACTTACTGGAACACCTTGTACATGTTTACTGAGACACCCTGTACATACTTACTGGGACACCCTGTACATACATACTGGAACACCCTGTACATATTGATTGGGACACCCTGTACATGTTTACTGGGACATTGTGTACATGCTAACTGGGGTGCCCTATACATGCTAACTGGGACAACCTGAACATTTTTATCTGGACACACTTTAAATGTTTACAGGGACAACCCTGTACATGTTTACAGGGACACTCTGTACATAATTACCGGGACACCCTGTACATGTTTACTAGGACACCCTGTACATAATTATAGGGATACCTTGTACATGTTTTAAGGGACACCCTGTACATGTTTACCGGGACACCCTGTACATGTTTACATGGACACCCTGTACATGTTTACTGGGACGTACATGATTACTTTGACACCCTGTACATGTTCACTGGGACACCCTGTACATGATTACTGGGACACCCTGTACATGTTTACCGGGACACCCTGTACATGTTTACAGGAACACCCTGTACATGTTTACAGGGACACCCTGTATATGATTAAAAGTTTTGGTTTGTTATCTCTCTGTAAGTCGCTCTCTAATCTGTGTTAAAAGGAAACCAATGTATAATGTTTCAAGTCTCTAAATATATATAATATAGAAGATTAATATCCTCTTGAAAAAAGATCAATCCTGGGGGGAATATTAAGTATATTAAGTATAAATAAAGTACAAAGGAGAGCGGCAAAATAAATAAATACAAAACAAATCTCCTATAGAGAAGAGTCCCTTTCCTTTCCAAACTGTTTAGTATCAGTTTGTTTAAGCTACCATGGTTTACAGCTTGGTAATGTGCTGTTTCAACTAAACACAGCCTAAAACCATACAAACATTTTTTTTCACAATTTGTTTGATAAAATAAGATAAACAAATTATTTAAAGGGTTTTCCGGTATAACTGAAATCTTTTAAAGCATGATAAACAAATCCTTGAAATTCCACAAACTTTAAATTCTGAATCTATCCGATTTATCAATAATTAATGGCCTTTAATAAGTAATAAAAGTTTTGAATTATTTTTAAATAAAATTAGAAATTCAAAACATTTTTTTCTTTTTTTTCCAATAACTCATCAATAAGAGAAGTATGATTGAAAGCATTGATATACAGGGTTACCCACAAAGAATGAGATTGTAAAGACGACCCAAAACTCTTAAAACATTACGATTCTAAGGTTAAATAAGGTCTTTTGTCCTGATTTTGTTTTTTTTCTATTTGATTATTTAAAAAATTGGCTAAGCAAGAAAGAAGTTGATACTTGCGGGGAATTACGAATAAAAGTAATTCCTTAGAATCGACTATGACGTCTCATCCTTTGTGGGAAACCCTGTATAATATTTCAGTTTTAGGTGCAATTTACTTTAGAGTATTAAATTATAGCATACCGGGAAATTGAGAAAAGATGATTAAATTCTAGTTTCCAATCCTGTCACTTCTCTCCTCTCTTTTCCTTTCTTTCCGTCTATCCAGGGGGAAAGAAAGTTTCTTTTTATATTTTGGAAATTCTGCACACTTTCATGGTAAACTTCTTGTGTTTTTTTATTTCGATTTAAATTCAAGGTTTTTACTCCTTATTACGTTCGGAATTCTAATATATATTTTTTTTAATCCTGTCAGAAAGCAAAATGTCCCGCGCCGCAGATAACATGAGGCCCGGCGGTATATATATAGATATTGAATATTAGTGGAAAAAATATTAAAAACAAATGGAGTTTTTGCCACACACTCAAGTTATATAATTTTTTATCTTTGCAACCTGAGATGGAATTTAAAGAATTTCAGCCGCGGTTTAAATCCGCCAAAATCCGCCAAAACCCGGTTTAAATTTAGCGCCGGCTTAAATCTTGAAACATTTGATACAATTTTAAGGGGAACCAGCCATATTTAAACCGCGGCTTAAATTTAAACCGCCGCTCAAATTCTTTAAATTCAGCCACTGATGTTGTAAACGTTTGAGTTTACAAACTTAGATTATTTGATCCAACAGAATTCATAGTCTATGACATTGTGTTGCTAAATATAAATAGATATAAAACAGTTACAAAGACTCAATTCCTTAAAAAACATAAGTTAAAACATTTATTTTCCTTGTTTACATGTTTAACTATGCGCTTTGTTTTATCCGTTATTTCTATTTATAACAAGGTTTTTTTATTTCTTCTCATAATGATTAAAAATAAGACAGAATCCTGACTGGTTATATTAGATTTTTTTCCGCATTCCTCAGACGTTTTTTTTAATATGACATGTATTGTATTGCCACAGTTAGTAAATATCTATTTATATCATTGTAATGGGTATTATTAGGTGCAAAAATGTGTTTCGCACGCATGATACTCATTTCAATAACATATATAGTTTTATTCAGTTTTACTCAAATTATTTAAAAGCAGGTCGATAAAGTTACTTAATCACCCTGTTGTAGGGTGATTAAGTAACTTTATCACCCTACAATGAGACAAATTAGGTATGAAATTTGAAATCTTAATAGCAGGGTGAAAAAGTTACTTAATCACCCTGTTGTAGGGCGATAAAGTCACTTAATCAACCTACAACGGGAAGTATAGTAGGTGTGATAAATTCCATCAAAATTGAATAAAATTAGATATTCTTTGTTTTATTTTAATATTGTTTAAATTGTTTTAGCCTCTCTACGAAACAAAATAATAATGATTGAATAACACAACTATAACTAACATTTTAGAAGGTTTATTTTTTCTATTTATTTAAAACCTTAAATAGTTCTTTGTAAAAATTTTGCAAAGCGCGAAGGAACTGATTTTGACACACACTCAAGTTTTCGAAGTCTTATTATAGTACGTAGTACGTACCTAATTGTGTAAACCGGTTAGGCTTTAAACTTAGATTGTTTGTTCTTATAGGATTTATAGTTTAAACTATTTAAGGTCTACGACATTGGGTTGCAAAGATA